GCCTGCCAAAACAAAAAAACTTGATTATCTATGATTGTTACGAACGTTTTGCAGTGATATTTATCGGTTAGGAATATATGAAAGTCATATATTTGAACTGCGGATAAAGACGTGAATGAAAGTGATCCTCGCAGTAATGTGCACTACTTAGGCAGTAGTGAAAATAAGGCCTGAAAAAAAATTCAGGCCTGTACGGGATTTGAACCCAGGACCTCTGCGATACCGGTGCAGCGCTCTACCAACTGAGCTAACAAGCCAACTGGGAGCTGATTATGATGTTGGTTCTAAATAAACCCGTGAAGTGATGAAATAAACGGTTAGGAATATATGAAAGTCATATATTTGAACTGCGGATAAAGACGTGAATGAAAGTGATCTTCGTAGTAATGTGCACTACTTAGGCAGTAGTGAAAATAAGGCCTGAAAAAAATTCAGGCCTGTACGGGATTTGAACCCATGACCTCTGCGATACCGGTGCAGCGCTCTACCAACTGAGCTAACAAGCCAACTGGGAGCTGGTCATGATGTTGGTTCTAAATAAACCCGTGAAGTGATGAAATAAACGGTTAGGAATATATGAAAGTCATATTCTTTATCCGCAGTTCAAATATATGACTTTATCTTTAACTGATGATGATAATGTGTATAAGGAACCATCTGATATTTTGTGTTGATCCTTTGTTCCCGGGTGGCAAAGAATTTGGTGGTGTTTCCCACCAAAATTTAATTATGATAATGGACGCTTCTCCGAGGTAAGTGTTGTTACGTTCTGTATTTAAGACTAGTGTCTTTTCGTTTATTACGTTTAAGGGGGCCCTCTGGTTGAAATCCAACAGTAAAGAAGGTCATAACTAGAACAGTCACAGAATCATAATCATTAATAGTAAACTGCTGAAAATTGGCAGGAGGCAAGTACATGATCCTACCTACCAGCCAACAAGTAAAGTTGACCAGGTTTGTTTATTCCTAGTAAATAATAAACAAAAACAAAAACTCTATCATTTTAAACTATTCTTCTGCCCCCTCAAATTCAAAGCTCAAAATACATCCAATTGGGCTGGTTTTAAGCATCATGGATCTACTTACAAAGCACTACAAACCTATTGAGCAAAATCGGGTTTCAATCATTAATGTTGCCATGGCAACGAATTCATTCCAAGAAAAGATTAACTCCTCAAAACTTCAACACTTTTCAGTCAAACTGAATTTTGCTCAATAGGTTTGTAGTATGTTATGTCTCAAATATTTGTGGCAAATTCGGAGCTGTTAGCACAAATACATCCTGAGAAATTTAAGGGGGCACCCAAATAATCATGAAAAACCCATATTTGCAGGAAATGTGATTTAAAAGGAAATGTTATGGAAACATGGGTTCAAGTTAGCTTTTACAATAAAAACACAGTGTGTTGGTAGAACTGCTTTAAAAGAAATATCCCTAAAGTTATTTTTTGGTCTTCTGAGTAGTTTTCCTCTTTTTGGGTCCATTACAAGGTTCTATTTCTCCAAAAGCTCCAGCTGCATAAGTTACACCCTCGCCACGAATCCTTAGATCTTCATTATGCTGTTTAGCCTGTCTCCTGGCAACTCTGTATTTCTTGTGCTGATCTTGCACTCTCTTCTCTGAGAGTAGTGAGCCTTGAGTAGTGCCTCTTCGTGCTCATACCAAGTTGAGAGCGAAATACTGAATGGCATATTAAGCATTTCACACAGCTTGGCAATTCCCTCTTTTCCAACTCCCATCTCAAATGTGCCATACACTATTCGTCGGTTCAGATCTTTACCTTGAATTGTCCTTGGAGTGGTATCATTGGAGGGGTGATCACCAGTAGCAAGGAACTCTGTCATGCCACAGTCACACTTGACAAAGACTGAATTGCTTATTCCCATTCTGTTTACAGTGCTCTCTAACACTTCAACTTTACCTAAATGAGAAATTAGAGGAAACGATCTATTAATTTTCTAGTTTAAATCCAGATAAATTAGTGGATCATGGACTTGGTTTCAAATTTTCCGGCATAATAAGTGACACTGTGCAAAAATTTCAACAGGCTCACCTGAGACACATGGTCCATGTGTATGTACTCTGTTTACAAACTTCCTTAGACTTTCCATTGATACCAGGCGATATCCTTCAGCAATTTCCAGATCATCTGGAATACTTTCATCCCACAGAGACGTATCAATAGCACAAGCGCCGATTTTTCGCGCAGAAACCGGGATTGCAGGCGGTGGAATCATTTCGCTTACCACGTCATCTTCACCGACGAACGTGATATTTACCCTTCGTTCGCTCGTTGCGCTTGCCGCTCTTTTCGCTTGTTTTTGAACTCCTTTGAACCCTTTACGCTTTCTTGAAATTCCCTGCTTTAAAACAGACTGCTTTTTCCCTAGCTTCGGCATAATTTAACCCTTTATAAACTGAATCAATAAACTGTGAAATGCTACGCATAGATCAACAAAAGTGACTTGGACAAAATTCGTTAGAGCTCCTTGTAACTCAGTAACCAGGCCTCAAAAGTAACTTCTAGGAATCTGGAATGAACTACGGTCTGTTTCCAAACTCAGGACCGTGGAACAGCGTTAACGCCTCAAAAATAATTCGGGAAAAAGGCTCTTGTTTTGAATTGGTTACCATGGCAACGGAAAAACAACGTTCAAAGAAGGCCACTTTTTGACTCTGCAAAGTAATTTATGTAAAAACAAGCAACATATTCAAAATCTAGATAGAGTCAAGTAAATATTTTTCCAAAAAAAAATTTGGGCGAAAAATTTTTCAATTTTACCAAATTTCAACCAGAGGGCCCCCTTAAGATATACAAAGTATTAAATATCAGCTAAGAAATCATTGTTTTGTGTTAAGCAGCAGTCTTAAAAGCTAGGAAAAAAAGAGGTAAGCACTTGAGTTTTGGAATGTTTCGATTCAGTGTCTCATCGATTCTTCGAATACTACTGTGTTAGAGTTTTACCCTATTCACCACTACGACCACTATACGTTTTATTTGATGATATCAGTGAATGTTGGTCAGTTCGACCGCAAAGTTAGGTACTATCTGGTACCGTACGCGGATAACATTCGGCGAATACACTACTTGTCATTAGGTCATGATTATGTGGCGTGCAGTTGATCTTTGACACAAAGACCGTATTGCGTATTGCATAATGATCAACTCTTCCACAGTAAAATAAGCCGGCGAGTACAGTCAGCGGTCAAACGCAAGAATCCAACGCCTAGTGTTGGTCATCGGGTAGAAAATTTTCTTGGGATTCTAACATCCGAGTTTCGAGTTTTTTATTTATAGTTGTTATTTTTTAATTTATTTATTTTTCATTTTTCCGGGTTTTAGTATTCCGACGTTCCGGCATTCCAGCGTTCATATTTTAGTACAACCTGGCCTTATGCCCCGTTCCGGCTTCGAAGACGGCTGTTACGAACGCAAACCACTAGTCAAATCAGGGGAAGATAACCTTATATGAATTCACCTAAAAAGAATGCTGATTAAGGGGCTTGTTCCCACACCGTACACGATCGTTCCACATTATTTTCGGCTGACATTTCGCAAGCGAAGAATGGTGAGCTCCTAGTTGTTGTTTATTTCACGTGCTTGAGATGTACTCATACTCCTTGTCTTTCCACACGACTACATTTTCGCTTTCTTATCGTATGAAAATCCTAAAGATTGTAGTTCCCATCGCATTTCAATAACGGAAATACATCATTTGTAATAAAGTTCAAGCCCTTTCCTAAGCTGACCGATATCCTGTTGCGTGAACAGGCCGAAACCTCTGGCGCATAAAGGCGAATCCCATCGCTTTGACGAAGGGCTAATGCACGAAACGTCAGCTTTTAAACTCTTATGGTGAGCAATTTAAGTTATCAACTCAGTTGATATTATTAAATTACCTAATATTCTCAATTGCCGAGTCTGCTACTTGCGGAGTACTCTCCTACCCAGACTTCTTACGGTACAAGGTTGAGAAGGTTTAGATAGGTGATTAAAATTGTCAGGAGCCTAATGGGCTCCTGAAATTGTATAGCAATAAAAAAGACTTCAGTTGGTCTTTCCCTTTAACTTCGCTCATAATGTACAATTAAGAAATGTACCATTGCCATAATAGTATTAATTAAGACCAATTAATGAAGAAAGCCCTGTTTTGGTATCCAAGGCGATCATGGCAAGATGTTGACACTAGTCTCACTAGTCTGTGAAGTTATCGTACGATATCTAATTGATTCCCCAGATGAAAAATATTACTGGATGTCATTGGTGCGTTTACACCGCACATCAACCGACAGAACTTAAGCAAGGCTGATTTATAGACGCACACAGGCAGTGAATCCAGTGCTTCTTCAAATCATCGAAAAAAATTAAGGTGGATTTGTATCTACAGTACTCTGAAACTATCTAAAAACTCTCCAGAGTTGATCAACATAATTTCGATAATAACAAAGTTTTTCTTCTTACCAAAGTTTTGTTTCTTCCTTTTAGCGCGTCAATCGCCCAGTCAAGCCTCAAATATTTCCGGTATAGGAGGAAATAGCAATAATACTGTAGATAGGTTTTGTTATGTTGCGTAGACACCCGTCAATCATACGCGCAGGACTGTGGAGAGAAGATTGAGAAGATTCAAAGAGAAGAGTGAAACAAGAGGCCATTAGTTCGATAACAGAGCGATAGATGATAAGCATTTTCTAACTTTCTTGAGTCGGAAAACAAGACCTTGAGGCATATTTTGAATCAGTTCGACTCTTGAACTGAAGAATTGACTTGACAGTAATCAATTGTAAAGCGGAGTCAGTATTGATGCCATCGATATTTGAATAATCAGCTCCAAATGTCATCCAACGCAAGAAAGTTTGAATGGAGCTGATTGCGATTTAAGAGGTCGATAGATCGCCATCGCTCCTTACTAGTACACAAGATAAGGCATTGTCCTCTGGTGTACGTAAACAAATTTGTCTCTGTTTACTTTTGGCAACAACTTTTGCCTCAACCAGTTGGATGGAACTTGCAAGGCGCGCCGTAACGTTGGTAAGAAGCTTTCGACGATTACCGTCATTAGCGATTCGTACCTTGAGAAAGTGTCTACCACTTGTTCCTATTTGTCTGTTGCTTCTGATAGTCTTGAGTTTATGGATGACACTGAACGAGATCAACCGAAAGGTGACTCTACTGGCTTCGTCTTCTGTTCTCAGCGAGCCTGAAACGAACGCTGTTAACTACCTAGACCAAGGCTTCTATTCACAACATCAAATTCTTCGCACAAAATTACGAACTACTGCCACTTGTCCACCAAAATCGATTGTTCTCCTTATTTTGGTATCGTCGAATGTCGGGAATTTTGAAAGGCGCCAGTTAATACGGAAAACTTGGGGCGCTGATCACTCAATCGAAAGCAAATGGAAAACAGTTTTTCTAATGGGAAAGAACAACATTGAGAGAGAAATGGAAAACGCTACGGCTGAGGCCAGAGTATTCGGCGACATCATACAAAGCGATTACCAAGAACACTTTTGGAACATGAGTTACAAAGTTGCGATGGGATTCGAATGGGCGGTCAAATATTGCAATTTTTATTTCATTCTTAAAGCAGATGACGATGTATTTGTAAATACTCTCGGTCTGGTGAATTTTCTAACTAAACATACAACGCCCATGATTAAATTATACACTGGTAATATCATGGTTGGCAGTCCTGTTTTGAGAAATGGAAGATATGGTGTTACTCCCGAGGAATACAATGAAACCGTTTATAAGCCATATTGTAGCGGAGGAGGTTATGTTTTGTCACGCGACGTGGTGGAAAAGTTATTGTGGTATTTTGACGTTTTAAGGCCTCTTAAAATCGACGATGCGTACATCGGAATATTAGCAGCAAAAGCCGGAGTTAAAGTGACTCATAATGAACACTTTCGCATGTACGAGAACAAATGTGAATACAGAGAAACTACTTTGGTGCAGCATCCAGCGCGAGGAGACTGCGTGATAATGCTTTACCACAGAATGATAGGCTGGAAAAGCAAGATGAAACAAAATGAATAGGGCGACAGATAGGCCAACTGTGCTCTTCGGTTTCCTCAAACGTTCCATGTTTCGTCATGACAAAAGGAAAAACATAAGAATTTGTTCATGCTTAGTGGGCGTATATCGAGTCATGGATGCACGCGGGAAGTTTGGAGCACGAAAAAAAAAAAAAGTAGTTTGAGGCGCAGCCGAGAGCGACTCTAGCTTCTTGAGTGCTCTCCAAACTTCCCAAGTGCATCCATAACTCGATATATGCACTGCTAAAAGCATGAGCAAATTCTTTTATAACAGTGCGACAACAAGGATCTCGCGAAGAAGTATTTTGTTGTGATAGAGTGCAAAATTCTCACAACACACCAAAAAAGTAAACAAACGACCCTATTGGCTGGTCAGAAACACGCGACATTTTTGTATTCTGGTTTGAGCGAGAACATTTGATCCAGTCAACCGATAACTGTGAATGAAAAGCTCGAAATCTACGGGGAAAATAGAGAAAATCAAAGCCAAATGAACGCAAGTGTCACTAAAAAATGTTTTAAAAGTCAAAGACCCGAAGTTATCAAGGGTTTTGATTGTTCAGAATAATGTTTACGCCGCTGTGCACGGTGTAATTGGAGAAGACAGACTGCAGGAAGCTTGCAGTTTTCTCCTGTTCCCAGTAAATGTCTTTCGGCCAAAATTTGCCGCAGCTGAGCTTCAGTCAAATTTGCGAAACGTGCAACTTGCGTTTTTTTCGGCTTTATTTTTGTTGCGTGTTGGATCAGGACCTAAAAGGTCAATGCTGATAGAAAAATTGGCCAGTTCTTCGCTGGTTTCTTCCATATTTCAAAGAAATGGAAAACTGCACTGCAGCTTAACAGGACGGAAACTCTGAAGCTAGATAAAAAAAATGCTCACTTCATCTTATTTACGCACGGGCGTGCGTAAGTAAAGATTTTGTTGATAGCGGCTCAATAGGACTTTTATGGGGCAAGCACTTGCGCTATGTTATAAATTACACGTATCAAGACGCATTAGACGTATTTGTAATGTAGCAATCAGACGTGTTAACATGTAATTTTAGTCTAATTTGCATTTTGTGGCACGCAACAAAGTTGGAAGAGCTTTGCTAGAAAACCAGGGAATTTGTCTAAAAGACAGAATTATATTGTATGAAGATGCTTTTCCATCTTAAATGTCACGAGCGAGAACAAAGAGCCACAGACCTTTGGAATCCGTACTCCGATGTAAACTCAATCACTGGGCCATCTAAAATTACGCTTCGACAGTTTTCGAAATAATTCAGCGTGGTGTTGTTTAGTTTGATATAGAATAGGCTCAACTCAACGCAGCAAATATGTTAGTCTTCAAGTGATGGGTTCCTGTCCTCGATCAGTAACCAACGGGTATCCAGCTGAATTTTTTAACCCATTGCGAAAAGACCGGCAGTCATTATTTATCGCCTACGGGGATAAGTAGACAACCTCGCGAGTTCCTCAAGGTTATTGGGTTTAAGAATTTAAGCAGCAGAACTCCGTGCAGTTATCAGAGAACTTGACCGTTTCCCTCCCAAGATCTCAGAATGAATTTTTTTTTTAGAATTTTGCCTATATCAGACGATATCCTTATTGGATATTTATAACTTATTTCATTATATTTTTTGTCAACAAAATAAACAAGTACCACTTTAAAAGATGATAATACGGACCACGTGCAAAGCTGTCCATTGTTTCTTGAATATTGCGCGTGTGGAGTAAAGAGTGACATCTCATTTACATCTACATCTACTTTTATTACGTTGGTAAAATCTTTACAGACATCACACCAACCAACTCGCACGCAAAGTGAGAAAACTATATGAAGGCTTGAAATTATATTACGATCGATTTTCATCAAGAAATGGGCTAGGAATATTCCACAATAGTGCAAATACTCGTGAAAGCTGATCGCGGTAAAGCGATTGCGTCACGCTAGGCAAGTTGTAAGATGATATATTATCAGAAGCCAGACGGAAAAACTCTTTAGATTCTCAGTCTGCATTTTGTACCCAGTCTGCAGTCTACATTTTGTACCTAGTCTACGTTTTGTATCCGGTCTGCTGTCTACATTTTGTACTGACAGGTATCCGTGGCACCAATACAGTTTATTTTTGATTACAGTTATTCGCACAACACACCCAACCTACCACAAAATACCTGTGTGTGAGTTAATTCGACATTTTCGTTCTTTTCCGCGTTAATACTCTTCCTTTTGTAAGAAGTTAGACGTCACTTACAATGTTTAAAGTAATCCACCCACCCCCCAAAAAATAACTCTGGCATGCATAGCATGCCTTTGTTTCCCAGTGGAAATGTATGCTTTTTGTCATTATTTTCCCTATTCAAGAACTGAATGCATAATGTAGTATGGGGCTGTGCGGAAGTTTTACCCTTATTTATTATATACATATCATAAGCGGACAGAGCTCAAAGATAAACATCTTTATTTTCTTTTAAAGTAAACGCGCGGTCAAGCCGCCTCACAGTTCGAGAGTTGCAATGAAATGGCTTTCTTGTAAAATGCTTTACATTTAAATTATCAAGCAAAAAACTTGTTCAACTCTTGAGGAGTCAAAACGTCCATTTGTCTCGTCTCGCCTTTCAAAACAAGAAATTCGTGGAACAGAGCAACATCGTGTTTGGTCTTTTTGTTGATGTTTTCATTTTCCTGTCCGTCTATTAACTCTTCTAGTGATGAATCAAGGCTCTGGAAACGGTTAGTCTGATCTGAAGTCATGTTTCTAAAGAAAAATGCGCCTATGCACATGGAAATGTGCTATTTGTCAGTCACGAGGAGCGGCGAGCGAGCGACACGGTTTTGTTCACTTGTGAAAATAATAATATAGCCAATCAGAGCGTCAATACGTCGTTTTTCACTGGTGGAAAAAATCGGACGACCAATCAGCTGGCTTCTCTAGTGCAAAGAGACTATTTACATCTCGATGCTTTTTGGCGCGTAAATCTCGGTACGTTTATAATGATTTTCGTTATTTTCATTACCGATCTGCCTGATAGTGTTTTGATATTATTGGGAGAAATTATTTCTTGGTCATTCTTGGGAGTTAAAGGGTTAAGTATTGACATGTTTGAGACGCGCACAGTGACCGGAAGGAGAGTGGAATTGTTGCATTAACAAATTGGCTGGAATGTAATTATTTAAGCTTCAGGGAAAAGGACTCTGAATTTGGCGGGAACGTTAAAAAGGAAGTGGTCTTCAAAGGCATCCGGTCGTTTCGTACCCTTAGTTGTCTCAAACCCAAATGCAGTCGGTTCGTACCTAAGTTTAAGTCGGCTCGTACCCAAGGTTAAATCGGTTCGCACCCAATCCGCTGATCGATTCGAGCCCAAACTGCTGACGGATTTGTATATTTATTCGAAATACCTCACGCACGAGCGCGTGAACAGATGTTACGCGTCGCACACGAGAAGTTAGCAGAGACAAGCGAGTAAGATACAAGCAAAAACTCTGTTGTGTACACTTGACAAAAACAAGTGAATCGCCGCCTAGCGCAAGGTAAGTGTGATGTTTTCAAAAGAAAAGTCTATTCATACTTGTGACATTTTTAAAATGACAGCTCTTGTTAGTGTGATATTTTTCTCCAACTGTTAACATGGAAAACACACTATTAATTTGAGTACGAAACGACCGGTAACTTCTTCAAATGAGTAAAATTTTAGACAGCGAGCGCCGCCATTTTTGCGCCTTGTCTTTGACACAACAGACTCCGATAACAACCAGGTTGTTCTCGAACCTTATCAATTAGAATCTAAGTCCATGCTTAAAGTTGAAATAGAAAAGCCGATTACTAAGACTGTAGTATTCTACTTCCCGCTATTTACATTTGAGTCGAATTATAAACGTAATACGCATGCGGCCAGGTTACTCGATCAGTTATGATTAAAAATGGTGACGTCCTTGTCCTCGTAACTTTCGCAACGAGCGAGGTTCAAGTGCGGCTTCTAAGATAAAAGAAGTGGCGCACGGTCCTTTGACGAATTTTTAGCACATTACAAGACTATTTTCGAACGGTTAGGTTACTCTTCCCTTTTCAGTCTTAAAACGCGATCAGAGACATAGTTTTACATTTACTGTCTTTTAACAGCTTCAAAGGTGTTGATAAAATCATTTCTCCCAGATCATACTAGCTTATTCTGCTTTAAAAAGTGTTTCATCTTTGACGACGACTATCTGTGACAAGAGTTGAAATTATTGACGGAACTTTAGGGGCACAACATCAGTTTATCTAGACGCGCCCCCCTCCTCTCTTTCCTATATACAATGTGACTTGATTTAAGTGGTGTAATTTTGTCTTGAAAGTCTTCTTTCCTTGAAAAAATTTCAAATTTTTTACTTAATTTTTCACCTTGTATCTAATTCTGGATATCACTTGCAAAGGTTTGGAGAAAAATAAACAAAAAAAAACTTTATGCGAAATGTTAAAAAAAGTGCGCGAGGTGTTGCCTACGCCCGTAGCCTGGGATTTCGGTTGGAGTCAAGCAACGTCAGGTATCTCACAATAACTAACTAAAAAGAGACAAAGACTGGTATAAAATTGGAAGTTGAGAAATCCAAAGAAGAAATTCTGAGCCCCTTTCACGTTCTTGCTGCCATTCAGAAACGTCACTCAAAATATCATATTCTATGTAAACACATTTGCCATGTCCTCTTAAGCTTTGTCAAAAATTAATGTATTTGACACATGGTCGAGAACCTGTTTGTTTGCATCTTATGGAACGCTGAAGTTCGTTTTCAGACAGAGATGAGATATATCAGCAGGAAAAAGAACAAAATTTATATCAGAAATTCCAAATTTCTGATCGGCAGGGGCAGTTCTAGCGAACACATTTTATATCTTGAGATGTCATTCATGTACTCACCAATCACATGCAACCACAAAGAATCGTGGTAAAGAAACCACTGGTCTCTGGTCAGTCAATAAAGCATTAGGTGCTTTTACCCATTGGATCACCCGTTAATAGGGTCTAATGGGTAATCAGCAAATTCTATGCCATTTTAGTTGGAAAGTAAATTTTTAGAGTTTTTTTTGGAATTAGTTCGATTCCATAACAGAGTAGCGACTAGGAGAAATCAACTTTATAGTAATCAACTGAGCACGCGGGTTATTGCACTTCGATGGAACTTACAGGGTGTGCGGGGAAGTTGTTTAGAGGCTTAAAACGATTATCTTCATTAGCGATTCGTACCTTGAGGAAGTGTATTCCTCTTATCCTCATTTGCCTGTTGCTTCTGGTTGTCTGGACTTTACGGATGACACTGAACAATATCAACGATAAGGTGATTCTCATGGCTTCGTCCTCAGTGTACAACGAGCCTGAAACAACTGCCTTAAAAAGAGAAGATACAGTTAACTCATCAGACCAAGAGGTCTATTCTCAAAATCTCCGCACAAAATTGCTTACCAACGCGACCTGTCCACTGGACCCTCTACTTTTTCTTATTTTGGTGTCGTCGAATGTCGGGAATTTTAATAGGCGTCAGCTGATACGGAAAACTTGGGGTACCGATCACTCGATCGAAACCAAATGGAAAACAGTTTTTCTTTTAGGGAAGAACAACAATGAAAGAGTAATGGAAAACGCTACCGTAGAATCCGGAGTATACGGCGATATCGTGCAAGGAGATTATCAAGAACACTTTTGGAACATGAGTTACAAAGTTGCGATGGGATTCGAATGGGCGGTCAAATATTGCAACTTTTATTACGTTCTTAAAGCAGATGACGATGTATTTGTGAATACTCTCGGTCTGGTGGATTTTCTAATCAAACAAACAACGCCAATGAGTAAATTATACACCGGTCATATCATGGTCGGCAGTCCTGTTTTGAGAAATGGAAGATATGGAGTTACCCTCGAAGAATATAACGAAACCCTTTATAAGCCATATTGTAGCGGAGGAGGTTATATCTTATCCCGCGACGTGGTGGAAACGTTTTCATCGTATTATGACGTGTTAAAGCCTCTTAAAATTGACGATGCATACATTGGTATACTGGCAGAAAAAGCTGGAATTAAAGTGATTCATAATAAAGAGTTTCGTATGTACGCAGACAAATGTGAATACAGGGAAGCTACTTTAGTGCAGCATCCAGCGCGAGGAGACTGCGCGTTAATGCTTTACCACAGAATGATAAGCTGGAAAAGCAAGATGTACCGAAATGGCTAGGGCGATCCATTGACTATCTTTTTGTCAATGCTCTATGGTAATAATTGAAAAAATGTCTTCAAGACCATACGATTTTCTTTACATGTTAAATGCAATCAAGTCGTAATGATAAAAAGTATACTTTCTCTGTCCATGTTGAATTTTGTAGCATGGAATAAAAAGCAGAGCAAAGTGTGGATTCTCCTGGACAATTTTTAGTCTTCAAGAGGTAATTAACTGTTGATAAGTTTATAATGTCTTACTGTCGTCGATTGTTTGGGCTCCCGTGGGAAGCTACTTGATTGTCTTTAATTCTATGAAAATTGTGATGAAAAGTCCACAAAAGTATTGCTTACCATACTAGTAGTAATGAAACCAAAACAGAAATAAATTGATAAATAACTTGGTTCCGATTTCCTCCATTTCATCGGGTTCAGTCTTTAATGCTTCCTTAAAGAGAGTAGTGCAGGCTCGTTTCCGAACAGCGGCTGCCAAATAAAATCGACAATGTAGCCATAATTTCCCTGTAACTAGACGCATAGCTGCGTGAACTCGGGCTTTCAATATCGCACATCTGGAGTTATCTCTAGGGGACTGCCATATTGCCATTGTTGCTGTCGTCACGCAATTTCGTCATTGCCGGTCATGAATAAGTCTACTTGTGTTTATTTTTGTCTGCTGGAGTGTAATGAATGTTGTTATGGTACTAGACAACGATCAAAATAATATATTACCATATAGGAGTAGGTTCCTACAGATGTTAAAGGTTGAAATTAAAGAACTTTTCAATGCCCACATTACCTTTACAATAGATAGCAACTGCAGTACATCCTATTGTCAATACAAAATTGTTGAAATTTTCGGATATAAGTGACTGAAAGACTCTATCTAAGGAGGTACAGTACTGTGTCCTTCTATTGTAGCTTCTCGATGAATAGTACCAGTGTAGCTTTTACTGTATTGAAGTTCATAGTCAGTCTCTAACAGGTTTAAAAGTGTGGGTAATTCTGTCTGCATTAAAAATAATTGTCTGGTTAACTGAGACAAACTTGATACAACCGATTTCCAATATTCATTATTGACACGAGATCATCAGCAGAATTGATTCCTGGTTTGTTATTGTAAATCAAAGAGTATAAAACTCATTGCAACACGTGAATTTTGTCTAAATACCAACTCATTCGCTTGGCTATATGGTGCCGTTATTGTTTTGCTAGGGTCAATGTACATTGGAGTAGGACCAGGGTTTTTCTCGATATCTGAACTCAGTTGAAATTTACAATAGTTTGATACGTGTGTCTGACTCTTATTAAGACACATGGGTCTATTACAAGAAAACAATGATAAATACCGAATTGCTCTACACTTCAATTTAATTATCCTTTGATATACCCTCACAGAACAATTCAACAAATACTTCTTCTCCTGTTGTGTCACTTTATTTAATCTTACCCTCTTCGTATTGAGCTTACAAACCATACGCTCTAGGGTTCATTCTACGCATGCGCTGTAGATGAACTGCGTTTTGTGACTGACGCAAAAAAAAAAAAAAGAAACGAGGCCGAATATATACCTCGGGCGTTTCCTGAGTATTACACAAATCAAATTTAGCAAAGCATACAGATCAAAAGTTTACATCGGGCTATTATGTTGCGACATGAAGTAAGTAATGATCACAATAATGGCTTGTAGTGCAACAGTTTCAAATTTAGAGGTATACGCTTTTTTTGTCTCCTTACGAGGGTGGGACAGAAAAAAAATCAAGGGAATTTGACTCTTTTTGACCTGACTAATTCTCCATACGGTTGTCTTCACGTTACCAATGGTACTGACGAGGAGAAATTTGTTTGCACAGCCTTCGAGAATTTTTACAGAGGTGCCTCCCTCATTCCAAAGCCTTGCTGGAGAAAGCACTTAAACGGAACTCATTCCAATTCAACGAACAAAAGTTCTTGCAAAATCATGGAACCATCATGGTACCCTCCTAATACGGTTCCCAATGAGCCAAATCAGGATCAGATTCTTGATCGCTTCGAAAAGTTAGAGTCAAGATTCGTTTCCCTTATCGTGTTTGTAATAAATCGGCTGTTTGATTTGTAAATGACAAAGATAAATAAAATCAACATATCACAGGCTTGTCGGTTGTGGCCATATTAACGGGGTGAAATTAGAACAGATTATGTAGAAAGTATTCTATTCTTTGGGACCTTAAAATGTGGCTGTTGGCCGTATTAACCGGTGACTCCATCAACAAGACTTTTTTTTACAAGAATATGTATAGCCGTTTTCCCAGGCCATGAAATAGTGGCTGTGTTACCGAGGTGACCGTAAGGCGTCGTTCCATTGTACTCAGTTTAGTTAGCATGCAAAATGCTGGCTCTTGTAAATGATCTCACTTCAGGCGGAAAGCTCATATTCTCCATATGAATTTTAAATTTAAAGAACATGTTGGACTTCGGTCTTTTAAAGAGATCCGCCTCTGGCGGTTCAGCTAAGGAGTTACGTGGCTGAGGCGCGATTAGTTATTAAACGAAGAGACGCCCGTCTCTGCGTAAACCATTTCAATTTTTTTCCTGTCATGCTCTTATTTTATGTTTTTATCATACATTTTCATACAGTGTAACCTATACTATTATCGTATTATTTAATTATCACTATTATTAAAATTACCGTCAGTTTTATTCTCATTATTATCTATTTATGGAGAGATTTGTTTTACAAATCGTCCTTATCGCTATAATCATTGTTATCAATCAATTGCTCTTCAATTGTAATAAACGAATAAATAAATTTGACAAGAAAGATGGTAATTTTTGTCCCATTACAATCAGCTGTACGCAAATTTAAATAAAACAAAGTGTGAACATAACGACTCAAAAGATAAGAAATGCAACTTGCGTTACTCATCACCAACGTCACGCTACCTGATATCGAGTTCTGTTTTAAAAAATGTAAGACATTCTAAGACGTAGCCCATTTAGTTTAATTCTTCTGAACTTTTGCTAACCACGGAACATTGCCGGTAGTGGCTATGCGACTCGTTATTCGCTACTTGAGGAAATCAATTCCACTGTTTCTGACCTGCATTGCTATTCTGTTCACAATACGAATTTGGCGAGTATGGAACGACATCAATTTAAACGTCAATTTACAAGTAACTCTTTCTCCGGATGAGCTGTCGAAAACGCACTCAATAGAATCAAGCATTCAATTGGATGCGTTGGCAACTCATGCTGTAACCACATTCGATGATCAACTCCATACTCATCGCACTAGACTATTGAGCACGGCAATTTGCCCCAACTCGCTGTTTCTTCTTATTTTGGTGTCCACGAATGTTGGGAATTTTGACAGGCGCCATCTAATTCGCAAGACATGGGGCGCCGAATACTCGATCAAAACCAAGTGGAAAACCGTTTTCCTTCTAGGGAAGAACGACAAACACGATGAAATGGGCAAAGTGAGGAAGGAGTCCGAAATATACGGCGATATGGTTCAAGCAGATTATCATGAACATTTCTGGAACATGAGTTATAAAGTTGCCATGGGTTTTGAATGGTCTCTTAAATATTGCACTTTTGACTATCTTCTTAAGTCCGACGATGACGTGTTTGTGAACACTTTCGGTCTGATGGATTTTCTAAGCAAATATACGACACCGAAGAAAAAGTTTTATACCGGGAATCTTATGGCTGGAAGTGTTGTTTTGCGAAATGGCAGATATGGTGTCGCACCCGAGGAATACAATGAAACCATTTATAAGCCCTATTGTAGTGGTGGAGGTTATATTTTGTCACGCGACGTGGTGGAAAAGTTTCTTTCGTATTTTGACGTTTTAAAACCGCTCAAGATCGATGATGCTTACATTGGTATTTTGGCAAATAGAGCTGGCGTAAAAGTGACTCATAATAAGGAATTTCGCATGTATGAGAACCGTTGTGAATACAAGGAAACCACTTTAGTGCAGCATCCGGCGAGAGGAGATTGCGCGTTGAAGCTTTACAATAAAATGATCGAAGGTATATTGAATAATTAATGTTGGATTAGAATTAAAGGTGAATGTAGGGAATTAATCTTAATAACAATATAAGGAAATTTATTCTGTATATTTAAAAAAATTAAAGCTCATTTGAAGGCAGGTAATTAAAACACGTAAAAAATGGTGAATTTTTTTAACAATTAGCAACCTTCAGAGGTGTCTTTTGTTTAATGGGAGAAGTACTCAAGGATGGAAATCACAATTTTCATTGAAACAGCTTCTGCAAGACAAGATTTAAAGTGGTCAAGGTTATTGTACAATGTAGAGCTTATGATTTTGCAGGCAATCAACAGATTATTATGAGCATTATCAACTATTATAGAATTATATTTGTTTCACACATTTACAAAATTTAACTCTATACATATTTATAGCTTAACTTTTTCCAAGCATTTAATTACAGGATACAATAAAAAGGGGAGTAAAGAAAGGTAGAGATCTATGGACATGTGAAAATTATTTCCTACCAAGATTTCCATGATTTTTGCTGTTTTTACTATTCTAATTTCTCCACTCATCAGGCATCTGGCATAGGCTATGTGACTAAGATAGGCTATATGACTAAGAGAAGTGTGAATGATCCAGAACTGGTCTGTGCCTATTATGTTATAATTAATTAACTGAGTAAGAACTCTGCTGATTGCTCAGTCATCATTATAACTCAAATGTGACCTGTTGTGACAGGGTTTATTTCAGAAATATTTCAGGTGTTCATAGCTTTCTGGATCAGAAAGTAACTTTCTTTGAGCAGCCCATGTTAACAAAACAGAAGTTGTTCATCAAATAGATTTGTACACTGTTTGGTAATTTTAACATTTTTTAGTTACACTTTATTTTTCCATAGATTTTTATTATCAGAATTGTCTTTTTTTAAGTAAAAGACATCAGAGAGAGGGTAGAACATTTATTTTCTTCAACATCACAAACAATAATTCGCAAAACAAATTCAGGAGTGATTTAATGGTAACTGCTTCTTTATGTAAATTGTGGTGCATGCAAATTATACAGGAATATTAGATTTACAAAGTGAATCTGTTCATAAGAAGGAAAGACTATTGTTATCACTAGTGACTAACATTACAACAACCTAAGCTGAAGTCATCATCACTCCCCTAAGGTTGTTGAAACCTCCACCTCCAACACTAACAACAGTTCTTCCTTGGACAACCCTCACCAACAGATTATGGAAAATGTTCCTTCTATTGATTTCCATGGGAACACTGATTGGGGTATATTAGGAATAACAATACAAGTCAGTCTACAGTAGCACTATTTATTAGAAAAACATATGAAGACACCTAAAGGACAAAGGATATGTATAAAATCCTAGACAGCCAAAATCAAGTCTTAAACGGTTTTGTCCATAATGTAAATGATACGGCATCTATACCTAAACTTGCACTTTCAGGATTTACTGTTAAAATGGGGTCTGATTTCTAACCTCATATCTTGAGATTGACACAGTTTTGAAAATCATAACATCTTTTGTTGCTTGGTTGTTGTTTGGCGTGTTTTGCTATCAAGACCGGGAGGCGCGGATACTATTGTTTGGCCAGGCTACTAAGTATACAACATGGCGACGAGTTTGCTCGGTCGTTCATCGTCCATGTAATATTTTTATCTCTCTAGAAATGGAAGTGAGGAGATTTAGGAATTATTATTGTTACCATGCCAGAAAAAGTGAAAATAATAGAATGGCATCAGTTGGAAAAGAAAAAGTATTTTCTTTTTATGAACGTGTACATGTTAACTACAAATGCTGTGCTATTTCCGGTCGAGTTAGTGAAAACTCGACTCCAACTCCAGCGGACCAAAGCTCTTTACAAAAACACGCTGGATGTCGTTTACAAGACTGTGAAAAACGAGGGATTTTTAGGACTTTACAAAGGATTCCCGGTAAGTCAGTTCGGCGTTCTCACTGGACATATCTACGCTTCAAGCTACGAAATTTCCAGAGAACAATTCTCCACGCTGCAAACTGCAGCCCGCGGATTTTTAGCTGGAGGTCTCGCTGCTGCGTTAGAACAAACCTTTATAAATCCAGTAGATGTTATATGCCAGCGAATGATGGTTGAAGGGCAAGGAGAAAGAAATAAGCAGCGCGTTACCTTGAGATCTGTCGTGATTGTAAAGCGAGTATTGAAAGAGCATGGAGTTTTTGGCTTTTATCGTGGGTTTACGGCGTCTTTGATGGTCGAGGGGCTCTGGAGTGCCACTTGGTGGGCCTCTTATGGGTTCTACTTAGATATGATTGGGAAAATGGTTCCTGATGGAACGTCACATCTCGTTATCAAGGGTCTGTCCGGGATGCTAGCTGGAATTAGCTCTGCAGTGGTGGGTAATCCCATTGACGTCATTAGGGTCAGACTACAGGTGAGTAATGGGCTTGAGTCTTATTGAAGTGGAAAATGTTAGTCTCATCAACCTTTCTTTGCCCCATGTCAATGGAGCTAATGTGTGTTTAAGTTAGGTAGCTTCATTCAGTGAAACCCAGTCAACCAACATGACAATTTTGAAAGTTTTGACATATACCTTATTATTCTGACTGTTGAAGACCTAAAAGTTTAGACTTGATCATGGTTCAGATACTGCTAAAGAAGGAGCTATAGGAGAATTGACAAATGCAAACTTGAAGAGATAATTGGTTATATTTGGGACTTGTACTTGTTTTGGCAGACTTAGAACCAACAAGATAATTTGAGTTTATTAACTGAGTTGATAATGTGAATTAGCCACCATTAAGAGTTTCAAAGCTGACGTTTGGAGCGGTATCCCTTCGTTATTTGCTCTGATGAAGGGTTAGCACTTGAAATACCTGCTTTGAAACTCTCTTTGGTGACCAATTTACACTATCAACTCGGTTGATAATACCAAAATTATCTTATGATACTCCCCCACCGACATAGCACCACAGTTTTTTTTAGAAACTTACTCCCTTTGTTCATTTTGCACTAACTTACTTTTCTTCAATTCAAAACTCTCAGAAGCAAAAGAATGAAATAAAACAAAACAAAATATCTGTGAGCCAACTGATTCATAATATTCTCCAAAATGCCCACTGATGTGAGTCACTGACTGAATAATCTTGTTATCTTTTTTATCCATTTTGGGAAAATCAGGTTTGAAAAATTATAGACAGCACTGAAAATTTCCTCAAATGAAGGGAATAGGTATCTTAGTATTCAACCTCTTTTTCTGTCAGTTAAATGTACTTACAACTTCTTTCAGGTGGAAGGAAGAAAGTCTATTTTGAGAACTCTGCATGATCTGCTCAAGAATGAAGGAGCTCTGGCTTTAACAAAGGGAATGTTTGCTAGTGCTGTTTCTGAGATGCCCTGTAGTGCTATTACAATAATTGGGTATGAAATGGTCAAGAAACTAAGCTTGAAGGAGAATTCTGTCATTGAATAATAGTGAAATAATATCTCTATATTATTAACAGTTTGTTGGGCATTGTGATGCATTTTGCAGGCTAAAATGGAGAGTTTGGTGTACTAAAACACTTGCATGCTGGTATGATTGTTCAGACTGGTTTTTTGTCTTTTTTTTTTCAGTCCTTATTTTCCCAATGCCTTTAATATGATAATAATAGTAATAAAATCAAAACATTCTGGGTATGAATAGGTGTTGGCCCTTTCCAGAACTCATTTTAACCCTCACTTAACAGCTGTGACTAATGTGACTCTGAGTTGGGCCCAATACATATTTATGCCCACGAACATGAACTCTATGGCTGAATAGTGAGTATTTGTATTTGTAATGGTAAATGTAGTGTGCAAGTTTGAACAAGGGGCTCAACCATTAAATGGATTAAACCCAGGAGTAAGAGTTAATTATGTAATCTGATTATGTGGGTGAGAGACTTAAGGACCGTTGTCAGTTGCAGTAACTAATGCTTTGAGAAATTGGAGTGGATGTCAAATACATCAAAGTCAACAAGTCATCAAACATTATTCACCACAGCACTACTAGCCTTAGTCTATTTTGGGACAAATTTCACCCAATTGATCAGACTGCACTATCAAGGAGCAAATCAAAGAAATTTATAAAACAGATGGCAAAAGTCTTGTTTGCCCTTAGAATTTTTAACCCCTGCCTGCCAGGTGGACAATGCTGCTCTTCATGCATCAGAAACAGGAGCTTCAACTTTTGCCTGTTAAAAGATGATGATATTGTAACCTAGCCATTTCACAGATTTGTACCAGGACTACAAGTGAAGAATCTTTTAGAATAAATGATAACATGTAATAATTTTTGTGTGGCTCGATATTTTAATTGATCCAAAATTCCATCCAAGGAAAAGTCAGGGTTTCACTTGATTCCTTTATTGTTGATGATATAAAGGTTATTTTATGATATAAAGGTGTTACTAAGAACTTATGGACTAAATAATAAGATTATGGGTAGCTTAATAATTACAATAACAAACTCAATCCACCACTCCACTCCCCAAATGGGGCAGTTTAGGGCCAACTTAGAGAAAGAAAGAAATATTTTGGATAAATAATTTGGTGAGAAATTTCAACTTGGGGGAGGCAGATCAGATGAATATTTTTAAAGGGAAACCAAGAAGTTGAAGTGTGGGCAACCAAGAACAACTGTATATTCAAGGGGTGTAGCTAAGGGAAGATCTGGGTGTGCACATATCCTCCCTTAGTGATGTACATATTTTTCAATTTTTAACAACATACAACATGATTGAGGCGGTAAAAAAGCTTGAACAAGAGGATTCTCCACAACATGAATCACTTATTGATCATCCAAAAAAATGCCACTCAGAGTGAAGCACAGCATGGATGTCTACACGACAGAGGGGTAGATACTCTTTGTGTGATACAATGTGTCCCCTTCCTCTCCACACACCCTTTTAAAAAATCCTAGCCATTCCCTTGCACTTCAAAGGTTCTTACCGCACAGAGTAGAGCAAAACTACAGCAATCCTATATTACTTTCAAAACTCAATTGAAAAATGCTCTAATGCGGAGGCAGTAGCTTTCTTGATGATGGAGGGGCCTGGGTTTTTGTTCTCCATTTTTCTTAAATCAAGAGTTCGCGTGACCTCCTCGAAAAGCGTGGGCTTGTAATAAACAACGATGTAACGGAATACTCTCAACTTCGTCTCTTTGCGGGTAACCACGCTTAACATGTGGACAGAAATAAAGATTGAACCACGCATATTTATAAATGTAGTGGACAAACGATTAGGTCAAAGGGAGTCGAATTAGTACAATTACGAACTTTTCCATTTTTTGACGTAACACTGTTGATGATGCAATAATTGGAAGTCACCCTGGTTGTGCGTTGCATTTCACCGCGCTTTCGCGCAGATGTTTGAACAAGAGATTTGCTTAGGCAATCTTTTGTTCTTTCCTGGATGCCAGAGGAAGTCAAACAGATTGAGTGGCAGCATATTGACAAGCTTAAATACTACACCTACGGAAGTGTTTTCTTCGTTGGAGTAAATACTATTCTATACCCAGCAGATGTGATCAAAACTCGACTGCAAGTGCAGCGGACAAATGCTCTCTACAAAGGAACGCTTGATGCTGTTTTCAAAACCTTCAGATCCGAAGGACTTATTGGGTTTTACAAAGGATTCCTGGTGAGCCAAATGAGTGTTTTAACTGGGCATTTCTACGTGACAAGCTACGAAGTTTCACGATCGCAAATGTCTTTCTTTGGCGATGGCACTCGAGGATTTGTGGCCGGTGGAGTTGCGGCGCTAATGGAACAGTTTTTAGCAAATCCAATCGAGGTGATTTCTCAAAAGCTTATGATTCAAGGACAAGGAGAAAACAACACAAAACTTAAGGGAGCTCTTCACATCTCTGCAGACGTGTTTAAAGACTACGGTGTGGGTGGTTTCTACAGGGGATTTGTCCTCTCGTTAATGACCGGGGCATTGTGGAGCGCTGTCTGGTGGGGCTCATATGGTGTGTACATAGACATAATTGGGGATTACGCCCCACATGGTACATCTCATTTGCTAATTCAGAGTGTCGCTGGTGGACTTTCAGGGTTGAATGCAGCCGTCATTGGGAATCCGTTTGATATTGTAAAAACAAGACTGCAGGTAATCGTATAAAAATCAAAAACGAACTGAAAGCAGATACAAATTACACTGCAACAGGTATTACAATTTACTGTGGAGTACAATTCAAACTAACAACAGGTCATTTTCAAGTCCATTAATGCTCAGAAATGATTCTAAATGACTATTGAGGCTGCATTTTCGTTAAAATTCAAGTAATCTTTGAACACTTATGCTTTTAGGTATTTCAGGGCTGCTACAAATGATGGAAACAAAAAGGGCTTGCCCCTCTCTAAATTTATATTTGTGAGGAGATTTGTTCAAAAAATGTACCATTCTCCAAATGATTCCTATTCTGGACATTTTGAACGTCTCAATTTCGTTGCACACTTTGTAGAACGGCCCTACCAAGGGAGTCAGATCCACAGTGTGGAAGAGCCTTTTTTGGGCCGATATTTAAGCCTGATAGTTATTATTCCTCTTTTCAGCAAATAAGTTAGTCTGTTTGATTCATCTCTAAGGTTGAAGGTGGAAAATCCACGACCAAATCCTTTCAAGAACTACTCAAGAAAGAAGGACCAAAGTCATTGACTAAAGGAATGCTTGCTAGTATATTGTCTTGGGTTCCTTCAAGTGTTATCATGATAGCTGCATATGAAACTGTTAAGAAACTCAGCCTAAAAGAGAAATCCATTGACTTGTTTATTTAATAAGTACATGTAACACTAAATCTTCAACAACTATACACCTCATCAAAGCAAGGGTAGACCACAGGGTAAGGGGAGATTTCTGAGTTTTAAGCAATTCCTCAATTTGGTGCTCGTCATGTAAAGCATAGGAGCCCCCAAAGGACTCCTGGTATGTTTTATTCTAAAAAAATTTCTCCTCTGCTGCGTCATACAGGTCAACCCTTGCTGCACTTCTATAATTATATAAATGTCAGAAAATGACAATTACAAAGAAAATATTAATTATTTCAACTTGAGAGACATTTGGTGGCCTTGCTATTGATTAGGAACAGTTCCAGCCATGTGAATTTACTGTTACATAATCTTTATGCACTCTTCAGCATGGAAGGGAATCCTTTTACTGCCATTACATTGTAACCCATTTTAATAAAACAGTAATTCCACTTGTGTATATTGTATATTAGATAATCTGAGCAAAATCAAAACTACAATCACATTGGTTATCTATCAACTTAGTATTAATCTTCTTGCATTCTATCACAAATGCTGTAATCTGATTGGCTACATATAACTCACCATCTAATGCTACCTATTTGTCACACTGTCCAATAAAAGTTCATAACTTAAACATTGAGAATACATTTGTGAATAAGAGTTTAACATAACTAGTTTAATAACTTCTTCTAAATGTAAGTATAAAGAAAAACAAAAATTTTGAATAGCATGTAACGCACCTCTTACAATTTATTTCACTTTCAAGCATACCTGCACTGTGTGCTGTTAAATAAACTTTAGATTCATTTTCTCATAGAAGAAGGTCAACTGGTACATTGTTATCTCTGAACATGTTTGAACAATACATATTTGTGCCTCAAAATTTGTTACAATTTGGATTGACTGGTTTTTAAAGAATCAGACTTCAGCTTCACTGTCATCTTATTTTGTATGATTGGTATCATGTAAATTAATATAGAATAAATTAAACACTACTTGGTCTCATGTCCTTTACACAATAGTGAAGTTTTATGTTTGCTCTGTTTCTGGCATTACAGTGGGCATTCTGCATCAAGATCGGTTAACTTGGCCAACCATTATACTAGTAAAGCTAACCAGCATAAGCAGACAGTTTTCATTGTGTATGCTCTTTGAGAAGTATTCTCATTTTTGTGACCAAATGAAGTCTGCTCATAAACTTTTAAATCATTACTTATTAAAAATCATAATTAACAATAACCATTGGCAAATGTCTATAAATTAAATTTGGCTCTGTACAATTGGTAGTTAATCATATAAATTACAATATAGAGTAGATGGTAATATATTTCTACAAAGTTGTTTTTAATAACCTGAGATGTATTTTAGGTAAAGTGGCTAACTAAATCCTGCACAAAAACAACAGCTTTTTGCCTTGTTCTGATCTTTACTGAATTGGTCATAACTAAATATACATTTCAAACATACATGTTTTACATAAGTCCATAGTTTTCGAAAATCCACAGACATCTTTTAACTTGAAACTTTTAAATAAAGCAATAAAGGTTTGACACTATTGATTGATAATAAAAACTGCAATTGCACTTGATATTTAGTGCAATCAATCTGCCTCAGAACACCAGTGATTCTAATTAGTGCTTTCAATAGCAGTCTCATGGGAATTTGATGCCATGACACAAGCAACTGAGGTTCTGCATTAACCACTGACCAATTTAGAATGGCAACTAGATTGATTTCCAATTTTTGTTTGTTACTAGCACTAGCAATTGAGATTTTTTACTAGAGATTCATATCTAGCACTAATGATTGAGATTTGTCACTAGCAATTCACATTTTTGGCACAAATGGCTCCCAATGCCTTACAGTTTTTAATGTTTGGTTTGTCCACTCCATTTAAAATAGATGAACTTGGTAGTCCTCCTTCTAATCTTTTCTATCTTACAAAGCAAAGACCCCATTTTTATGGCTCATCATCCCTGATCTTGAACATTTTGAAACATTCTTAAACTAAATCAAATCAACACCCCAGTTAATGAGGGTCTTTTTGGTAGGCTTGTTAAACTAAAAGCCAAAGGGCTGACTACAATTCCTGAACAAATAAATCATTTTATATCATGCCATCTTCACTCTCTTCAATGTCATGACTACTCTCTGCCTCATTATCATCATCATCATTGTCTTCATCTTCTCCATCATCATCATCATCATTATCCTCGTCAACTTCATTAGTATCTTCAAAATGGTGTGTGTTCATGGCATTCTCTCCAGTGACATCACATGAAAGATGGGCATACTCTCCTTCCCCAGCACTATCCAACTTAGCATCAGCTTTTGTCATTAAAACAAGAATAGTAGAAGCAAAATCAATGTTTCAATGCCAAATGATTGCACCTTGTAGAAGTGGAGTATACGTTTATAAAAGTAAGTTTATTTCACTTGGGTAGGGAGCTTCTAATAATCGATGATAAGGGTTTTTCATGGCTAATAGAATATAACAGTTTCAGGAGTTGATTGCTTCATCACATCAGCCTGACAAATAAAAGTCTTCACCAATATTTCTCAGTCTGATGAAAAAGTCTTATAATATCAGCATACAATGTACCTGTTGATTCCCTATGGGACTGCTCTAGTTTTTCCCTGGTTTCTTGCCACTTCTCAGAATAGGCTTTCTTTGTCTTCTGTGTCAGCTCAATGAGTTTTTTGAATTGATCCTGTGTCAAAAATACAAGTATCTTCATAGCCAGACAAACATTATTGGGAGGTTGGATGGTGCCAACAAGCCTGAGGAAAAACCCTTCAAAGGCCAACACAGTTTCCAATTTCCTGACTAAATTCTGACATAATTTCTCTTTAAAAAGAAACCTTTAATACAGACTCTCTCTGTGGCGGACAACAAATACTAAAGCTTAGCCCCAGGTGATGATAGTTTATGTATTTAATGTACAGTCCTCTTTGCAATTACACAAACATCAACAGCCAGTTTACCATTCACTTGGCAAATAAATTATGGAGAGATGTCTTGAAGAATAGAAGTTTAAAAAATGGTACTTTTTTAGGTGAAAGAGACAATTACAAACTGTCAGTGGAGTTTCAAAAGTGGTGTCACTATTGTGATCTCTACAAAGCAAAAAGCTCCCTAATGCTGACACCACTCTCAGTCCCTAAGGTTTTATTGTTCTATGAGTAAGTTAGTCTTTTCTAGAGTGCTCTCAAATTGCTAAATGTTCACCAATTAGTTCCATGTTTCTGTCTGCCTGAACACTACTGGTAATTTGCATTAGCCTGCATAATCATGCTTTGTAAACTTTTACTTTCCTCACCTGTGCTCCATCATAGTTAAATATCCCACAAATGCTGACAGGAACCTTCTTCAGCAATACTTTGCCTAGCAACTGACGCTTTAAAGCAAAAACCACTGGAATCTGATTTTCTTTGCAGTACATTATTATACTGCTAAGGGTGTCATCTAGACCTCCTGAAGAATATCATAATAGTAGTAATTTTATATCATTTCAATTATTGACAGATGTTTGATTTCATAGTCAGGAATCACAAATGACCATAATCTAAAGCCAGGTTTTTGGGTATGACACAAAATCATTTCAGGAAAGAAGTAATTTAATGTACTTGAGACAACAAATAATTACAGGGTGAGCATAATTTTTGCACCAGCAACCACTATTCAAGATATTTTCTTACTGTACAAAGTACAAAAAACAAGTCAGAGCGATTGCAATGAAAGAACTCCACATTCACAAAGGAGACGTAAAGCAAACATTGCTTTATCTTTATTTTCAATTCCCTTGTTGCAGCAACATGAAAAAAAATGGGGTGGACATCAACAGAAGTCTACCACCTCGACTAAAATAATTTGCTGAATTGCAAGTTTACTCTTTCATGTTATAAAACCTGACAATTGTTAGCCAATGCAAAATTGCAAGAAAACTGTTTAGACAGTGAAATACTACAAGTTTAACCATAGAGAATGATGAATGATTTAACTTTTCTACCTGCAATGACTCAATGACTTTAATATGTTTTGAGAAACAACTTACCGGCAGATTTGATACGTTCCACATTTGAGGATATAATCACACATTTCACCCTCCTCAACTTGAGGTGTTTGCTGACCTCTCTAAGGCCTAGCACAAATCTTCTCTTTGCTTTGGCCTATAAAAGAAAGTCAATATCTGCAATTAACCCTTCACACCCTAACATCCATATGTATTTTCCCCATACTGTTTTCTTGACATTTCCTATGATGCTAAAAAAGAGATTTTGTTTAAAAATCATCAACTTCTTTCGTTGGCAATCATTTCTTTTATTCCTGTGACCACAAAGTGTGATTCAGGGCTGAAACATAGAGGAGAAATTAGATGCAAGTGAATCTGTGTTCAAAGGGTTATATCATCAGAGTGGAAAAATTTACCTTCACTGGATCCTTGTGAAACTGCCTGTCTTGAAAACGCACAAGTTCTCTCAACAGTTCAGTTGCCACAGAGTCCACCTCCTTATCTGGAACTTGAAAGCAATATCTGAAAAAAGTAAAAATCAACTGCATACATGCCATGGAACAAATTGTTTTTGGGACCATTACATGAAATCAGGAAATGCATTGAAAGGAAAGTGAATTCATTTTTAAAAGTGAGACAGTGTAAGATTCGTTAGAGGATTAGTACACTATCTGTTAAATTAAGTACATAACTTATAACAGAATTATTAGCAGAGATAATAATGCCAGAATTATTTTATGCTTGCATAATTGACAAGGTGCACCTAGGGTGCAATTCAATGCCTGAAAATATTAATACCACACACTTCCTTTTCTAAAGTTTTCTCATTATCTTGTAATTGTGTTTATGAATATAGGAAATGGTTTTTGCGCATACCTGTTGCAGTTCAGATTTTTTCATGGTCCAGGATAACCATTTTTGAACCCAGCTTTATTTAAAATGTCTTTTCTTTCAGATTTTGTTAATCAATAGAGTACCAAGGGGAATAAGAACTACAACATGGCTATAATGATGGTAATAAGGAATGAAAGTGTCAAGTAAAGGGTATCAACCATGAATGATGCCATAAAATGTTTTCATGAGTAACATAAAACATTTTGTTGATAGAACAAGAAACCTTATATTTAGAGCAGAATCAGTGACTTTGATTCTAATTACAAAATTGAAAAATGCATATTAACTATCATATAACTACTTTTCCTTGTTCCTAGAAATCCAAAAATGTGTCTCAACATTCAGGTTTGAATTGTTTTAAAAATTTAAACAAAATAAACTATTAATAATAACTCAAGAAATTCAAAAATAAGACAATGTTTTTTAGAAATTCCAGGCTTCCTGTTCTTGGAATGGCAAGTATATGTGTACAATAGGCACAAATCCAAGTACTTTTAGTGTAAGAATTCTGCAAAAATAAATCACAATCTTACTCTCTAAAACGACGGCTGTGAATTTCAGCGGCTATTTCTTGATCTGTAGGAAAAGATGCTTGTGCCCCAGAATTGTCATCTAAAAAGAAGACAGGCACTATGTTTGAATAAAATAAATTCACTCTGAATGTTCAAGATTACATTGTAAGCTACATGTAAATTAATGATCATGTATACAGGGAGAATAAATAAATAAATTTATTACTTTACATTAAGCTTTATTGTCAGTATAACAAGGAAAGAGAGGGAGAGTATGCCATTTCAGATCTTCCTCTTAAAAATGCCAAGATATACTGAAAAGTATCTGATAACAAGCACACAGACCTTTTTTTCATTTTTGTTTTTGTGATGTGCATTTAAATAATTTATGTTTGTATCCTCCAGCTCTGTTTTAGTATTTGCTGTTCTTCACCATATGGCTGGGCCAATTGACATGACTAGCAATCACTCTGTTTAAAATGGCTGTACTTTCTCAGTTAGCAAAAATTTAACCTAGAATCAATATTCATGTATTTACCACAAATTTGTTTTAAAAAGATGGCTTCTGTTGTTTTTGTTGTTGTTTCTGTTGATGAAAAAAAAATAATAATAATTGTTAACCCTACATGCTAGTATAACACTTATATACAATAGAGGGAACCCTCTTCTCCTCTGCCCCAAACCTAAAAATCTCACATCAGCTTCTATCTTGTTCATTGCCTTTCACAACATCATATGCATGCACATTATCCTGTATGTCTTGCTGCATCAAAGAAACATTGTTCTTCCTTGGTATTTCATTATTTCACTGACCAAATTAGACTTTTCTCCTCAAAGTAGAAAGACATTACCTCAAAATAACAAAAGAATAAAAAGCTGGATCCAGACTTTTTTCAACATTAAAAATAAATTTGCCAGAAGTCATTGGTCTGAAGCATGCCTCCATTTTATTTATCTGTTTTTTTTTTAAAACACATTTCTCTACTACCTTCTGATGGACTTTGCATGTCTTCCTCTAAAGCAGCATTCTCAAATTCAGAGTTATTTGTCCTAAAAAAAAACAAAGAAATCAGGATCCACCCAAGTTACTGAGAGAAGTCTCATCACTTGTCTGGTTGATGTTGTAATGATATTATAAGGAGAAATTCTGTCTTGGTCACTTATGAGAGTTTAAGAGTTAAAGGAATGGTGTGACAACCACGACAATCTCCACAAACCTGTTTTCTTTATCTTCACAAACTTCATTGTCTTTGTCAGTATCTGAAGTTCCCCCAGTCTCTCTTGCTTTCTTCTTCTCTTCTCTTTCTTTCAGAATAATCTACAGAGACAATTTAACTAAACATTCACATTGAATCTTCTGTAGAATTCGACTACACATATACTTATAATGATGTTGTATAAATCATGAACATGTCTAGTACTGGATGTTTTAAATTCAGAGACTACAAGGTCATGGCAGAATAACTCTCCAAAACTTAATCCTTCCAGAATTATTCATCTTTAACTCTTGACTGTTAGTCTTAGTCCTAAACCATATGCTGTAAAAATATAATTGAATTTTGAATAAAACAATATTGTGATATTTCAAAAACATTTGTGGGGATATCCTAAAGAGGGTTATTGTTCATTATGACAGTAAGCAAAAATAAACTGTTTAATTGTTTGTAACAAATGATTAAACAGTTTTTTATTTGTGGGGATATTTTGCACTTTCAGAATTTTGTTTGTCTTGGCTTTCTGTGATGCTTTTTTCATGTAATTTATTAATAAGTAATAACATGATTTATTGTGCAATTTGGTGTAAATAAGCACTTGTAAATTTTTTAAAGACTAAAACTTGCACTTGCCCTATGGGCTCGTGCAATTTTGTCATCTTGGAAGAATTCACTGCGCTTATTAACACCAACTTAACTTAAAATCATGATATTTCCAATTAATATGGTGTATTGAAAGCCTAGTAAAAAATACTTGTACCAAAGTTAGTAATATCACTGTGGCACTTCTGAATGATGTAAAAGTACTTAAATCAAGTAACATGATTGTACCAGCTAACTGGATAGTTGATCAATGAATAAGGACAGAATATAAAAAGCAGTTAACCCTTTAACTCCCAAGATCTGATTGTTAATTCTCCCCTCTAGCTGCTACACACTTCCTTGTAAATTAGTTAAGAGAACTTGGTGCTACATCAAGATAGCAACTTTTACCTGATAAGTTTGAATATTCTCATTACCTGTTTGCTGAATAATTAAAAGGAGAAGTTCCATGTTGATCACTTCTGAGAGTTAAAGGGTTAAAGAGTGACTGTCTCCTCTAAATGAATACACAACACCTATACTTATTGCATCCCCATTCACAAATATTTCACTGGCAGACAAGAGTATTAGAATTCATCCTAATCTCCCTCTTAAACTTTGCCTGTTAAAAAGTAATTTAAAGAAGGTAACCTTTCAGACCATGATTTTGTCAATGGATCATCAGAAACAAATGTAACCTTGTCTGTCACATATGACAGAGAAATTTACATTCATGTCTAGACAGCTCCAAATATTAACCTATATGTATACCTTTTTCAGAGCACTTGGCTTCTTTCTTGCTGGAGTCTCTCTCTCTTTGCCACGTTTGATAACTGGAGCCGTGGAGTCTAACATGTTATGGGGGACCTAATGATATTCAAATTAAAGAAATATTATAATAGTTACACTGAAATTTTATAAGAAGCTAATTTAAAACAATTACCAGTAATATTTATCAATTAACTTAAAATTCTCAGTTGATTCTAGAGCTAGACCCAAGGCAAAGTATCACCACCTGCAATTTCTGACCAGTTAAAAAAGAGGGATAATGCAACCCTTTTCATCAGCACTAAATTTGTCTAGATAGTAAAATCAGTATCATTACAGAACATACATTCTCTGTACCCAGTCAAATGTACCTTCCCGTCAGGTTCAAAGATTTATGATAAATTCTTGGCTGCTGCAAGACTTGTAAACACTAAAAAACTATTGTAAGTACCTTATTCTCTCCTCTCTTATGTAACCATGCATTCTTCATGGGAGATTTTGCCTCAACAGTTGTTGACAGCTGACTTGGTAGCACACCAGTGGATATCACATGCTTTTTACCACTTTGTGTTCGTTCAGGAACCTGAAAAAGTGAAAAAAAGCATTTCTACATTTACTTCTGCTGTAGCTACAAACTGGAAAGCAGCAAACAGTGATTTAGGGTACCTACCACTATGAATGTTAGACAACTGAAAATCAAAGTCAAATTGTCAACCAAACAAAAAATGGAACCACTGACAATAGATATAAGATGAAACCTACACACTACAGTCCAAAATCAAGTCTCTTTACTTTCCCAATTAATGGGCATAGAAATGAAACAATATTATCTTACTGAAATTGTTTTCAGCATGCTTCCAAGATCAACTTGAATAGGCTTTTCAGTTCGTTTGGATGATGCATTCTGTTGTGCCTTCTCTCCTGTCTCTGCAGATTTCTTTTTCTTTCTCTTTTTCTTCTTCTTCTTTTGATTTTCACCATCTTCCACAGTATCCACTATGGCTTCTGCTGAAAGATGCAGCACTCCACGACCCTCTTTGGAAGACTGTTCACTGTCCTGTGAGGGACTGACTAGAACTGGCTGTTAAGTAATATAGTCAAATGCACAAAATTATTCCTTGACAATGTAATTATATAGCTGTGTAGCTGTTAGGTAATAACAATCAAACAGATCTGTATACAACTGCCTTGCATAGCTGCCAAAGCTTTCTAAGGAGTCTGTGATCTCATTCCTTTTAAAGGAATGCCAGTCAATCATAAGTTACGTATGAACACTTTGTCACAATTCCCTAACACTTTCACACACCCATTTTCACTCAAAGGGCAGATAACTTTAACCAGTAGATCAATGGCTATCCAACAGATTAATGTCAACAAAATTTACAGCATTATCCACTGGATAGAGATTTATCCACTGGATAGAGATTTATCCACTGGAAAGTGTTATCCACCCTTCCACCAACTGGTATCTGGGCCTAGTTGTTCAAAGAGTGTTCAGCATTATCCACAATATAAATCTCTGTCTGGTGGATAAGCATTTACAAAGTGTACTGTGCTATTGACTAGACAGAGTTTATCCACTGGATAGCCTTATCCACCCTTACAACAACAAGGGCCTGGGTTGTGCAAAGTACAGTGAGTCAAAGACCTGGAGCTTAATTGATTTTACAGCAACAAAAAGGGAAAAAATGCTTCCTCGCAAGGAAAGTACTCATCAAGCATGATAAAAGTTACTCTTAGGATCCTGATTACTAGTAGGTAATTTCTGATGGAACACAATCAATAAGTATAATATCTAAAGATAGCACTTTGGGCATTTATTAAGCATTCAAGCATGCTTTGTAACTCACCTTTGGTTTAGGTGCTGCCCTTAATGCAGCACTGTAGGACAAAGGAGCTGGTGGTTGTTTGGGAGAACTGATCATTTCCTTAACCTCAGTTGCCTGTCTGTCAATAGTGAAAGGTCTTTTAATTTTCACACTTTCAGACAAATTGGGAAAGTCACCTTCTGCCATTCTATTGTTTGAAGAACCAATAAATGAACTTTCTTTCTCATCAGATGTTCCCTGAGAGCTAAACTGAAAGTTTCTCTTAACATTTGAACTAGGCTGTCTTGTATCAGTCTCATTTGATGATAAAACCAAACTTATTCCATTCAAGAGTTGCTGTTTCTTTGAAGTCTCAATCTTGGTGATAACTCTGCTACTTTCTTTGTGTGCAACATGTCTTGTGTCACATTTCTGTCCATCAACTTCAATTTTTTCTTGAAAAGTTCTCTTCTTCCCAGAGTCAGTATCAGTATTCTGAATGTTTGAACTCCTAAATGTTTCCATTTTGCTTGAAATTGTAGAATGTCTCATAGCATCAGTCTCATTCCTCTTGAGTCTCCAGTTGTCATCATTATCACAAGTCAATTTTTTTACACAATTTCTTTTATTTTGCATAGCCATTCTAGAAGATTGATCCACTGTTCTAGTTCCTAAATTGGAGATTTCACCATTTTTCAATTTTTCATAACGACTATCCTCCAGTGCACTCCATGTTCCCTTTGGTCCTTTCTCTTGATCATCCCTCTGATCATCTTTTTTATTTTCACAGCTCAAGCTATCTGTTGATACCTTCTTGCCCTCATAATTATCTGAGCTCAAAAGGTGTTTGTTTTTCCTACTAGGGTTATTTTCCATAAAATCCTTCATCCAAGATTTAATTGTTATACCACTATGGTTACTACTGCTCACATTTTTGGCTCCCACACTCTTCACTTTGTCACTGTAACTCACCATTAAGCTTTTGGTATCCAATTTTCTGTATTCAGTGCTATTTATGGAAGAATCAACTACTGAAGAATTGTGTTGCAGACTGGGAAACTGTTCACTTTCATGAGTTGAGTTGGCTTGGTTGTGTTTTATCCCATCAGATTTATCGTTTGCATCATTTAACTCCTGTGGGCCTCGGGTTTGGCCTTCACTGTTTAATTCTTCTTTGGTTTGTTGTTGAGTAGAGCCATTAGGTTCCTTTTGTTTTCTTCTACGTCTTTTTTTCTTTGTATTTGTTGTGAGGTTTTCATCTGCAGCATTTTCCACAAAAGTTTCCTCTTTACTAATTTCTACCCTTCTCTTTGTAATAACACCCTCACCAGTTTGGTCTGTGCTTTTCTTGGATTTTAGATAATCTCCCTGGTTTTTCTGGGGAAAAGTAATAATTGTGAATCAGAAAATCTTACACATGGGTTTTCACAATAATATTGATTCTTCACATGTCTGAGGAAAAACAGTATCCTCTTCCATGTGGTGAAGATATCCTGATAAATTTTAATTTTGGAGACAAAGAAAAAATTACAGTTTTCTACTTTTGAATTTCAAGAGGAATTTTAAAGTATACCCTAATGACAATGCAGTGTTCTCCCTTGTTTTAAGCACAACAGGTAAAAAAAATTTCCAACTGGTAGAGCAGTCCTTTTACCTGGTTAATTTTCAAGAATTCCAAGCGATTTTGGAGGTAATAAGAGGTACTACACACACTAAATTTTACTTGAAGAACACTGCAATGTTGATGATAATGATGATAATAATGATACTAATACACTTTTATTCCCTTAAGATAAAAAAGAGATAAAATGTGTTAATATGTGCTAGAATAGCAGATAGTATTGAAGATGCACTCTGGCTGGCCACTCAAATACTGAATATCCTTTGCTATTCATCTCTGAGTAACTCTTATGCGATTTATGCCAAAAAATTTTGTGATCATTGCAGGAATACATGAGTTAAAATCATATTTTTGTGCTATGTTATCTCACTGTTTTTTATATATTAAACAACTATTCACATTACAGTCAGTAGCTTGCAGTGGATATTTCACTTGCAAAACATTCAAGCAGCAAGGTAAACATCCACCACCAGCCACCTTTATTGAGGTGAATAATATCCCTCTAACTCCTAAGATATGACTGTTAATTCTCCTCTTTAGCTGCTACACATTTTCCAATAAATTAATTTCAAGAATTTGTTGTTTTATCATGAAAACAACATCTACCTGATCAACATGAGTATTCTCGTTACTTTTTTGCTGGATAATGTATGGATATTAGAAAGAGAAATTGGATTTCAATCACTTCTGGGAGTTAAAGGGTTAACTATCTGTCATGTTTGACTCTTTACACTGATAAACCGCTGTTTCCATGACTTACTTGCTTGTATTCAATCTGGTTGTTGTACTGATCATCAAAAGTGTGCTCTGGTTGGTAATATGAAATGGCATAAGGAGGAGAGAAAGGTACATTGGATGGCTTGAACTCTGGAACAAGAGGGGAAAGCTTGGAGTCAACAACCACACTGCCAGAAGGCTTTGACCTGATGTTTGCTATCTTGGGGACAAATGCAGGCACAGTAGCTGAAAGTTTGGAACTAGAAACAAGTTCCTGAAAGACAAACACACATTAAAAAATGGTTTAACATTCAATCCTCCTAGCACAAAGCAGGGCGTAAATTTTTTTTTTTTTTCTGATAGCCAAAGTGGTAGCCAGTCAAAAAAAGTTGGTCACCATTTTTAAAGACAAACAAAACCTTTTTTTGTGCTGTCAGTGTTCTAGATAGACCCTCCAAAATTAAGTTAGAAAAAAGATCTTTAACATGCTACAAAGTGGACACTAGGATGGATAATATTCAATGCTCAAGTTCATCTAAATCCAAGATGGCATCTATTAATTGATGAGAAGTATGTGCTGCATTTTGGAAACAAACTTCATAAGGAAGTTTGCCGCAGATTTATCTTTGCAAATCTTTTTAAGGGCCTGTTTACATGGAGGTGGGGGAGCCTAGATACGTAGGTGAGGTAATCTGCCTAGCTGTGATCAAAAATTAAAATATGTTTACATACAATCTTATAACCCCAGGGTGCTGGGGTAAGGTTTCTTGAGGTTGTTGTTGCGTTAGCAATTAAGGAGTTTGAGCAAAGGTGTCCCAGGCTCACATCTCCAGAAAGATGAGAGATTAATTCTCAGACACATATGTATTTATTAATGAAAGCTTCACGCATTGTGTTATGAAATGTTAGGTTACACAAGGTACTGTTGACTTAATATGTCATAAGGAATAGTTCGGAAACAAATTATGGTTGATTTACAACGCTAAATATTCTGAAATCTGAACATTTTACACTCCTTGTGTGTCCGTTGCAGTTTCCAGTGATTTCTGCCATGAGATGGCTAGGAAATGTACAAAGTTTTAAAACATGTATGTTTCACTTTTGAGATTTTTGCCATGAACACGACCCTGGCTACGTGGGTTACCCCACCTTGAAATGTTTTCATAGCAAATTGTCACCCCAGCTGACAGGGTTACCCTTCCTGGCAGACCAGGCAACCCGCTTAGGAGGGTTTCCCCACCTATCATGTAAACATGATCAAGATAAAATAAGAAATTATATAGACAGGCAGGTTACCCCACCTAGGTGAGTTACCTCATCTACTGGGGTCCCCCACCTCCATGTAAACAGGTCCTAATTCACAATATATCTCTAGGTAAGTTTATGATGAAGCATTCTAGTTGCCAATTTGGCGACTAATTTTCAGGATTTGGTTGCCAAAGTGAAAAATTTAGTCACATTGGAAATATACAAAGTTTTAAAATGTGTATGTTTCGCTTTTGAGCTCTTTGCCATGAACACAACCCTGACTAGGTAGGTTACCCCACCTTGAGACATTTTCATAGCAAATTGTCACCCCAGCTGACAGGGTTACCCTACCTGGCAGACCAGGCAACCTGCTTAGGTGGATTTCCCCACCTATCATGTAAACATGATCAAGATAAAATAAGAAATTATATAGACTATAGATAGGCAGGTTACCTCGCCTACCTGGGGTCCCCCACCCCCATATAAACAGGTCCTAATTCAAAATATATCTATAGGTAAGTTTATGATGAAGCATTCTAGTCGCCAATTTGGTGACTAATTTTCAGGATTTGGTTGCCAAAGTGAAGAATTTAGTCAAATTGGTGCCTGTACTAGGTGCAATTTCACGCCCTGCAAAGTGCAATATATTAAAAGCTAGTCAAACAAAATTGGAATATTTAAGAATCTGTCAAAGTCGTTTCTCATGATTACAAAAATTAAGCCTATAACAAAATTCTTAACATGACTGGTTATAACCAGCCTGATCCAATCACCAATAGGGCAGTATAATCATCACGCTCAAATTTGACAATATATGCATCATGGACTGTATTCTGTGTACACGCTTTTGTTGCATATTTCTCCAAGTTTAATATTGGTTTTTGTGAAAATGTACAACCAAAGGTTAGTTTATTTCCCAAATTTTATCAAATTATTGATTAATTGGTATTACAGTTCTTCCTGTAGTCTAATTCTGTCTGTAATCAGACTCATAATTAACAAATCAGACTCCTGCTTCACAATCGTCCAAATAATATTTTGTCACTCACTCGGATGATTACAGACTGGATGGGACTCCACTCAGTCCTACAACCATTACTAATTGAATATTTAACTGCTAACTCGTGATGGAGACGGAGAGGCAATGAATTCTGTATTTTGAGAATTTGGAAAGAAATACCCATATGTAAACTATTTAGCAGAAAGATTCAAAGCAAAAAGGCTAAGGCCTAGGCTTGAAGGAATGGTCTAAATTCAAGTAGTAGCCCATAAGCTTTATGGGCACTAACGAGTTGCTCGCGTTGAACATGTTTTTTTTCATCGTCATTGGAGACACACTACCATGAGGTCGTCACGATTATTAAATTCTTAGTTACATGACTTTACTACTTCTCCACGATCATAATACGAGTATTAACCTTTAACTACATTTCTATGTGGACCAAAGACAGAGCTCTAGCTCCCCCCAAAAAATATTACCCGAGCTATTCTAAAAGGGATCTGAAGGTAACACAAAATCCTTGATCGAAGGTTGATTCATCAATTGAAAACAAACTGGGAAATACGAAAACAAACGATACAAGCTGTATTATTCTTACGCTATTAATACTAAAAGAAAACCTATAAATTACCTCTGACTCCTGATTTACATCAGACATTTGGAAGGTACAAGACGATCCTAGCGATTTTACACTCAGCTGAGCTGAACTCCTCAATTCGTGCAAAATCGCTACTGTGGAGAGTGGAGGAAATGTTCCATATTTGGTCAACATAAAGTACCAGTCTCCCACTCGTCTGCTACTTCTGACTAATTTTTGTTTTCTATTTTGTTCACTTTTCATTCCCGTTTATTCGTAAGTCTGTTGGCACTAAAATCGTGGCTTGGTATTCTGGCGAAATCTCCCCAGTTTTATCTCATCAAATACTGATATCCGAGACAAATGCTCGATAACTGGTGATGGATGTGAAACTTACAACAAAAAAGAACTCCTAATCGCAGGTTAGCCGATGGGGTGCTGGTTATATGAGCTTAAAATGGGATGAATCAAAATCTTGTCATTTAACTACTTAGGTGTTAGCGTAAAAAAGAGCATTTCGGTTGTGTATATGCCGAAAATTTCAAAAGGGTGTTATTTGCTTTAAATTACGACTGTAATGGAAATTTCAACCTTTGTCGGTAAACTTTGCATCAACATACTAGAAAAAAAGGGGGCCTTTTTTCATGACCTTCTCACCTTCTCTTCTCACCTTCTCCTCCCATGCACCATTAACTCCTCAGAAGAGGGCATCAAGGCCACATAGATACTGGAAAACCGGCCGAAATTTCATCAACATCGAAAAATCATTGAAAAAAATGACCAAGCCGAGGTCCTGCCTCGAACCAGTAAACAAGAGCAAACCAGGCAAACAACTGAACAACAAGAGCCAAAAAGCTCAGCTTTTAGTTTAAAAACCGTTATAATGACGGGGAAATCGAAACATAAACAGAATACACAAACAGAAAAACCGAAAAATGGGAGCAAAAACCGTGAAAGACTTCGGAAAACCGAGGTCGCTTCGTCGGGTTGTATGCAATATACTTGGACTAATAGTGGCGAGGCAACTTCCAAATTATGAAAAAATTACATTTGGCAACTTGGACTTACTTTTAAATAAGCTTGACAAACTGTACAATGGTATGAAAAGTTTTCATGAATTTATTTTTTCTCAGGGGGCACGGTAACGAATCCTGCAATCTGATTGGTGTAAAAAGAGTTCCGTTAAGTTAAAGAAAAAAATTTAAAATATTATTCACCAGCCTGGTCGGTCCGTATTGGGGAAAACTGTGCCCTCTGCCTTCAATACCACCATCGGCCTACGACCTTGGGCGGTACTCAAGTCCTAGGGCACAGTTTTTCCCAGTACGGACCTCCCGAATAACATATACATCTTTACTCAGAACTATTACTATCTATCATCTGATCAAGGGAGCTGCAGGCCGTAAGACCAACATATTAGCTGTGGTTTCCTAAAGGAACCCAATGTTGTTTTCCAGTGCGTAACACGTGGTTTTCCATACACATTTTATCTCTCGCCCCATCAACAAATTACGTTTTTCACTTTTTCCTCTTAGAAAACACGCCGTTCTTTGAAAGGTATTTGTGTTCTGTACATCAGGATCAGTTTTCAAAACAAATGATCCTTCACTTGGCAACAAGCTCCGACAAAGCGAAACTTTGGTCTCAGAGCCCCCAAAAGAGCTGGTAAAATAGAAGTAAAAATGGAATACATGAACAGAAAAACAGAAGACTGGGAGAAAAAAACGAGGGATACTAAGGAAAACTGGTGTCAGTTTAGAGTAAAAAAACTGACGTTTCGAGCATTAGCCCTTCGTCAGAGCGATATCGCTCTGACGAAGGGCTAACGCTCGAAACGTCAGCTTTTTTACTCTTTACGGTAGCCAATTTACGTTTTCAACTCAGTTGTTAACACTAAATTACCTCCTATACTCTCCCACCGACGCAGCACCACAGTTTCTTTTAGAAACTTATCCCCTTTATTCTGGTGTCAGTTCGTCGCGATGTGGCTTTCCGCATCGGCAAAAAAGGGAAGATAAAAAAAGAAAGTAAAGAGAAACAAAGACAGAAAGAATATGTTTATAAAACAGAAGAAAAGGATAGAACAGCCTTAGAAACTTTTAGTGATGACCAATTTACATTATCAACCTCAGTTGATAAAACCAAGTTATCTTGTTGAACCCTCCCCCATCACCGACGCAGCACAACAGTCTCTTTACATCCTTACCCCTATACCCAGAACAAAAGAATACTCGATTTCGGAATCATGTCTATTTTTAGAGGCTGATATGAACGAAACATTCTTGGTGCTGGCGTATGTGGTCACGAGCTTTTGCAGCAAGATCTAATCACACGACGTCTCACACGACGAGCATATTGCTTTCGCTTTCGGCTCCTAGGTAACGTTACATAAAGGGTAAAATGTTAAAAATATATGAACAAAAAGGTCACTAAAACCACGAAGAACAATCGGAATATCGGAATAACTTGGACTGTGATTGATCTGCATGCGAAGATTTGAAAATCGCTGCGAAAGTAGCGGGAGAAATTGGAGTGGAAACCGAAATATGTTAATTAGTAAGTTCCCAGGAAATACAGCTGTCCATTATTCGTTACTTTAATGTCTCTCAGCAAAAATTGCCATTATTTTAATGATTTAAATGATTATGAAGAATTAATTATTTACACATTCTACAGAAAAAAGAAAATTACCTTGTCTGCACGAAACTGCAGGAATAATTATCGATACGCTTATAGAAATTTACTTCCGAGGCAATGGTGGAAACATCCATGTGATGAAAAATTAAATTACGTTTGGCAAGAGTTCAACATGGCATCACTTTTGAAAAAACTCGAATAACTATCCAATGATATATGACCATTTTAGCTAATATTTATAATCAAAATATTGCTATCTTTCACGATCGAGGGAACTACTAAAAGAGCTGTAGGCCGCAAAATCCATTCATTAGGTTTGGTTAAATTAGGGAAACCCAATATTATCTTTCCCGTACGTAAAATGTGGTTTTCCAACCACCTTACATCACCTGCCCTATCAGCAAACGTTTCAAAAGTTCACTTTCTTCTTGTCGTTGCTGGACGACAATTAAATTCGGCTGGTCCGTTTTAGACAACTTTATTCACGGGTTTTACACTCACAACAACACCGCTTTTTTCCGCTCACGTTACTACAAACTCAACTTATCTCATCTCACACACGCGCACGCGGCCCCTAGTAACGAGCTGCTACGCGGCTAGAAATGAAAGTACACGAAGCGGGAGGGACACTTCTCTTAGAGAAAAAAGCGCCTTTCTTTAAAAGTTATTAGTGTTCTGTACATCAGCGTGAGTTTTCAAAACAAATAATGTGTCACCTGGCTCCCACTGGTGGGAAGTATTTTCCAAGCCCAAGAAACCGGTACTAAACCGTTTTCAAAATATCATTTAACAACGAAGAAGGCACGCCATCGAAACTGCTTTGTGGAAAACTCTGGCGACCAGATGTTCCATGATCGGTGTATTTTAAGGAAGAAACAGTTTGCGTTGTAAACAAGAAGTCTTTAAAAGCAATGCCACCTTTATCGCACAAAGAATACAGCAGGGCGGAGAGATTATCTTTGAGCTTGCTGTGTAGGGAAATAAGACAAATTTAAATCTAAGCTATGCGCGTAAACTCCTTTTCTTGAGTTCTTTTGGGGGTGCCCTGAAAACACGATAACAATTCAGTTAGCCGACGTATAATTTACTCATTATTCATTGTCACCTTTTCTTATTCACAAAAATAGAAAGTTCCTCATCCTCCAAAAAGAGCTTCACAAAAAACGACGACAACGTTCGCCTGCAGTTTCTTCAGACACTATGTAAAGAGGCATGTCTGATATGCAATACAAAATCTCTACTTTAAACTGGATTGAGAACCCGCTAATATCGCCTTTTCACAGCTGGAAAACTTTGTTTGATATTACATTGTCAAATAATCAAAGCCAATTTAAAATTCATATTTAGGTGGTGCTTACAGCCGAAAGCCAATCGGCGTGAAATATAACTGGTGTAATTTACAATTTTCGATTAAGGAGATGAAGGGGTTATTGATTTTTTTATGGCGGGGTCTTTTAAGTCAGATATTGTTCTACCTTCCAAGCAAAACTTGAAATAACAAAAGGTTTCCTTTTGACTTGTAAAAATCTTAAACTATTTCGAGGTCGCTTTCTAGGAAACATGATCGGCAAACACCTTCAAAATCCTTAAAAAGATGAAGGAAGAAAAAAGCGCAAGAAACATTCAAAGTTTTGGAAAACGTTAATCAGTATTCAAAAGGGAAACCTATCAATTTTACGTCAGATTATTTACTCAGATGATAGTGTTGGTGTCGTCATGAATATTCACTTTTCCACGTGCTTTCGTTTTTATTCGCACGTTTGAGCGAGTCAGGGCTATTATTGTTCCATTAGCCTTCACCCTGAGGCGACCACGTTGGATATTCTGGTGGTATCAATAGCGGAAAGGGTCTTGTCTTTTTGCTTCATTTAACAGTTTGGGAACTGTCTGAGGGGCAATGGCGATAAAGGTGTCTGTTGCTGGTTTGTTTTGTTTCTGCTTTTTAATAGTTCTTGCATCAGCGTCTCTGGCGGCCGATATCGACCTATGTGGTGTCGGTAAAATTGAAGGTAAAAATTTAACCCTGGCGTTGAACTTCACCGAAGAGAATGCCATGAAAAACGGCGGAGAATGTAGCCGTGTTGTATTTCTAGAATCAGCGCGGGTAAAACTTGTGGTCGAGCAATTGAACCTCGCTAATGGAGCGGTCTTCAAAATATACGACGGCCCAAGCCCTGAAAAAGGCCAACTTCTTGGTTTAAAAGCGGACAATGGGTTGCCACTGACGTACCTTACCACGAGTAACGCTTTGTTCATTATGTTCAGAGATAGCCAAAAAAAGGAAGGGCCTTCGAGTTTTCGCGGGAAAGTCGCTCCGGAACCTTATCAGCACATGTGTCTCTGTCGGTCTGTAGATAATGGAACTCTAGAGTGTTCTGAGAGTGATCGCGAAAGAAGTTGTAAAGTAAAGTGTCAACCATCATATATGGACTTGTCAATAAGTAAAGAAGTGAAGTGCGATCTCGTGAAAGGAGAATGGGATATTGATATTCATAACATGCACATCGCTTGTCAGAAGGTGCAAAGCCCATTACAAATCAAAGCGCTGTTGCAGTTCGATTACGTTAATGCAACTTGTAAAGATGCTGACTCGGAAAAAATAAAAAGTGCCTTCAGGTTGTCCATGGAACAAAACAATGACGTAAAAACCAAGGGTGTGTGTTTTGCTCCTGGTGGTGATGAAAATGTGGATTGCAAGGGGAAGAAACTTCAAGTGAACTGCACTGGTGACAAGCCAGCCAGAATGATAATAACAATTACAGACCGTGTAACAAAACCTCCAACTTTAAAGGAAGCCAATGTGAAACTTCAAGAGCTGATCACAGCATACAAAAACTTGAACCTTGATAATGTTTTGAACTCCAAAGATTTAGTCATGAATAATGGAAGTGACTCATTCACTCCAGATAAGGCATCAGCTTCTATAAAGGTAACACCTCTATGTGATAATCTACAACACTATATTAAGGTCCCTGGTAATGATACATCTTTTGTCTGTTCCACCTGCCCACTGCACCATGCCTATAACACATCTACCCACATGTGTGAGGAATGTCCCTCCGGAAGTAGAGCATCTTCTGGTGCAATCTCCTGCACAAAGAGTGACAGCACCATGAAGATGACCCCCATTAAGACTCCATGCAATAGTGCGTGCATGAAGGGAAGACATGTGGATTCGAACTCTAAGATGTGTGAATGGTGTCCACAGGATACTTACCAGAACTCTTCAACAAGGCTTAACCCCACATGTATGCCTTGTCCTGATCAAAAGAAGACCAGCTTTCCAGGAGCACAGAGTGTAGGGGAATGTCATGACCCTTGTTCATCAGGTTCCTTCTACAACACATCTAGTGGTGCTTGTCAGAGTTGTGCTATCGGTTCTTACATTGATGTTGACAATCATGCACTCACCAAGTGCAAGACCTGTAGTGTGGGTAAGACAACCAGAGCAACTGGCAGCAAAGACAGCAGTGACTGTTACACAAGGTGCCCACCAGGCCAGTTTTACAACTCAGATTCAAAACAGTGTACTCCTTGTGGAAAAGGTAAATATCAAGACAAGACGGGCGAAGACACTTGCATGGATTGTCCTATGAACAAAACAACTCTGAATCCAGGATCAAAAAGTTCTGCTGAATGCATTATGTTATGTGGACCAGGACAATTTCTTATGGAATCTAATGGAAAGTGTGATGATTGTCCAATGAATACATACCAGGATATTAATCAGCATCAAAACAAGACATGCAAGTCCTGCGGACCAGACAAAATCACAAATGCAACAGGGAAATCTAGCATTTCTCAGTGCTTTGAGAAGTGTAGCAAGGGCCAGTTCTTAAACAAGTCTTCCACCAAGTGTAAAAGGTGTCCTGCAGGAGAGTACCAAGATCAGCTGGGTCAAGAGCAGTGTAAAAAGTGTCCACCAGGTCATTACCAAGATCTAACAGGCCAAGAGCAGTGCAAAAAGTGTCCAGCAGGCAAGTACCAAGATCTAACAGGCCAAGAGCAGTGCAAAAATTGTTCTACAGGGGAGTACCAAGATCTACCAGGCCAAGAGCAGTGCAAAAATTGTTCTACAGGGGAGTACCAAGATCTACCAGGCCAAGAGCAGTGCAAAAATTGTTCTACAGGGGAGTACCAAGATCTACCAGGCCAAGAGCAGTGCAAAAAGTGTCCATCTGGGGAGTATCAAGATCAGCCTAGCCAAAAGCTGTGCAAAAAGTGTCCATCTGGGGAGTATCAAGACCTACCAGGCCAAGAGCAGTGCAAAAAGTGTCCAGCAGGCAAGTACCAAGATCTAACAGGCCAAGAGCAGTGCAAAAATTGTTCTACAGGGGAGTACCAAGATCTACCAGGCCAAGAGCAGTGCAAAAATTGTTCTACAGGGGAGTACCAAGATCTACCAGGCCAAGAGCAGTGCAAAAATTGTTCTACAGGGGAGTACCAAGATCAGCCAAGCCAAAAGCTGTGCAAAAATTGTCCATCTGGGGAGTACCAAGACCTACCAGGCCAAAAGCTGTGCAAAAAGTGTCCATCTATCAGGCCAAGGGCAGGGCAAAAAAAAAAAGTGCTACAGGAATCAAGACAAAAATTGTTCTACAGGGGAGTACCAAGATCAGCCAGGCCAAAAGCTGTGCAAAAAGTGTCCATCTGGGGAGTATCAAGACCTACCAGGCCAAGAGCAGTGCAAAAAATGTGCTACAGGAAGGTACCAAGATCAGACAGGCCAAGGGCAGTGCAAAAATTGTTCTACAGGGGAGTACCAAGATCAGCCAGGCCAAAAGCTGTGCAAAAAGTGTCCATCTGGGGAGTATCAAGAACAGACCAGCCAGGAGTACTGTAAAAAGTGTCCTGAAGGTAAAACCACTGAAAACAAGGGAACTGATGATTCTAAAGCATGCATAACTATTGATGTAAAGAGCAAATTTGAATTGTCTCTTAGATTTGCTTCTCTTTCTTGGAGTGAAGAACTTAAAGAGGAAGGGAGCATGAAATACCAAGAGACAAAGGCAGTCATTGAGAAAGCAATCCAATTTGAGTTCCGCTATGATCAATCATTCAAGAGTGTTGAGGTAACCAACCTAAAGAAAGGCAGTGTCATTGCAGAGTTTGATGTGAGCTTCAATGACAAAGCTGATTACAATCCTGTAAAAGTTCTTCAGGAGGCAGTAGATAAAGGTCACGTAGGAAACTTGACAGTTTCTCCACAGTCATTGAATATTCTTCATCAACCATGCCATCAACCTCTAGGCATGGAAAATGGTCAAATCAAGAACAAGCAAATTACAGCATCAACATTCTTCAAACATCATGAGCCATCTGAAGCCAGACTGAATGCAGAAGGAGGGCGGGGCTGGCATGCTAAGTATTTCAAGAAGACGGAGTACTTGCAGATTGACTTTGAGAGCGAGGTCAACATCACAGGTGTGGCCACACAAGGAGTATCCTCTAAAGGATATTTTTATGTGACAGAATACAAGCTTAATATGAGCAAAGATGGAATTGTGTGGCATGAATACACTGAAAATAACAAATCAAAGGTATAATGCTATACACTAAAATGATGCATTTATGTTCAAATTCTTCCTTAGTGCAAAAATTTACAGACCTGTTTAAATTAAATTTTGATTCCCTTGTCTGATGACCTCAAATACCATACTCTGAAATAGGAGAAAACTGGTTTGGAAACTTTTAATCCAAAGAAGAAAGATGAAGCACAACAAATGCAACCAAACTGTCACACCTTTGATGGATGATAAAGCTAACATTAACTTAGTTTAAAACCTTTCCCTTCCTTGACAAATCACACCCTAATGCATAATTGTTTCCTGTTAATACCCTATATTAATGTAAACTGTTTGGGAAATTTGGAATACAGGTAGTGTTACCTATACAGTATAACTTGTCCTAGATGTTTAAAAGGATGGATTTTGATGTTCATTGGATAAATAATTATTGCAAGTTAATATACCTGCCACAAACTCATTGTCCACAGTGGATGTTAGTTATACAAGTCATAATTACACCAGTTTTAAAACAATATTATCTTGTTACTCCTGACAATTAGCAATATTTTTAAGATTATATGGTCTAATCCATCTCCCATAGTTCGTTTTGCTTATATAGGTACCAATGGAGTACATAGAACGTTACAGCTCCTAGGTGCAAACCATTACTAAATAATATTTTGTTTATGATAGGTTTTCAACGGTAATAATGATGCAGAAACTGCTGTGAGAAACGACTTTGCACCATCTGTGCAGTCTCGGTTTATCCGATTTCTGCCTCAAAATTGGAACAAACGCATTTACATGCGTGTTGAGGTCTATGGCTGCAAGCCCATCAACCTGCCTGTTCCATCACCTACAACTGAAGCAGATGTTGCTGCAGTGACAGCGAAAGAGGAAAAGTGGCCATGGGGAGCATATCTTGGCATCGTGTTTGCAATCCTGCTTGTCATTGGAGTTGTGGTTGCTGTCATCTGCTGGAGGAAAAAGAGCCAAGAAAAGAGAGAGGAAGCTGGAACTGATGAAGCTCTGATGGGAATGAGGAAGCATGGTGATGGAGAGTACAGAGTCATCGAGAAAAATGCTGCAGAGCCTGACGAATATGATGAAAATGTAGTTTGAGTCAAATTATCAAAGACACAAAGAGTTGATAAAAGAGGCAATATAACTTGCGCCTTTTCAAAGACAAAAATAGTTTAGTCATTATAAAGTTATGTCTGTCAAACTCAACATAGGATCTGTTTTTTTTCATATCAATATTAACTTTTGATTGTTTCTTAGATAGTGAAGTACCCTGTGTAACAGATGCTTGACTTGACAGGGTGTAATGGTGATTTAACTTAAAAGAGTACACAGGCACAAGAGACAGAGTACTGCTTTTCTCGCCAAGCTCTAGCTGCTCGATAGGCTAATGTGTAACAAATTATATTACATTTATATTAAATTATGAACATAATTTTTACCATTAACAGCTAATATCTGAAAACTATGCAGAAGACCTCTTGCAGTCAACCAGACATCTTGTTCCAGATACAAGAAACTACGTCAATATTTTGTCTCCTTGGTTACTGGCCCTCCTTGCCTCATTTCAGGGTGAAGATTCTTTCAAATTTCAAAGATGACAAAGAATCACAGTAATAAGAGAATAAGGAAAAAAGTCACCATTTTGGAGTAAGATTTATAATGGCTGTCAACAACCAGTTACAAGGAGACAAAGTAAAGAAAACAACTCAATGATGATGATAATTTTCCCTGAAAATCTAAACGTCGTTTTTCATTGCTTAAATGTTTTTCTTGTGGTTTTTAGTATAGAAACTTTTGTTTGTTCTGACTGAAGTTAATTCACATTTCCTATTTTCCATTTCATGTTGCAAAAATAGGGACTTTTCAATTGAAAGGAGTTTGGCATGCCTGTGATCTTACAAGAGGGCAATAAAGTCTAGTGAAAATGACAAAAAAAATGAATAACAAAGTATCATTGTGGTTTCCAGCTTAGATCTTAGGCCATATAAATCATACAATTTGCAAAAGAAGTTTTGGTCCATATTATCCCTTAAATTTGTAGACTGCAATTCCCTGAAATAAATGCAATTTGAGAGTTGGTCAAGATTTAATATTTGTTTACTTAACCCTTAACTCCCGCAAGTGATTAGCATGTAAGATCTACACATTATCCAGCCAACATGTCATGAGAATACAAAAAGTTATCAAGTAGAAGTTAGTAGTCTTGATCTAAGACCAAATTCTCATGACTTATTAACAAGGCAACGAGTAGCAGCTAGAGAGAAGAATTAAAATCAGATCTTGGGAGTTAAAGGGTTAAATGGAAAAGACAAGTATGTAATGATACTAACTTGAAGACAGACGTTTTCTTCTCTATTTCACAATTAGATAATTCGTTCTCCATTTCTATCGATAGATGATGCATGCGAAGAACCAATCAGTATGAACATAGAAATCGAGAGCGAATAGTATATTTTAATATTTTGGTATAAATGTGGAAGTTGTTCCACACGTAACAACATGTCAGGCATTCTCCTGTCCCAAAAAATTGTTATCTTCCACCAGGTCTGTCAAAGTATCATATTTTAGAGTTATAGCAACTGCTTTCCGAAGATTACTTGAGGTAAAGTTGACTTTTTTGTGACGGAAAGTGAGATTATTTTGAAAGCTAACTTTCTAAATCTATATGAAACCTCACAGGTAACTGTCTGGCTTAAAATTAAATGAAGTGATCGTTACATACCTTACATTGCTATGGTGTAACTCGCAACGAAACGAACACAATTATTCGTGTTGCGTGACCTACGTGAATTTCGTTTTAAAATTGCGCGACAAGAATGATATCTTGAAAACTGATAATGTTACGAATTATTTGAATGAAGCTTGGTGAAAGTATTTTTTTGCATGTTGAGTAAAAGTATTTTTGCCATAAAAAAAGGACTACTTCGATCGGAAAAATAATCAACGAGTCACTTAACGCCTTCCTAGCAAAAATTGTGTATCGTCTGACGTCCCAAGACTGCCGCCTCGTTAATACCCTGCGTGCCACGTGGTAGTGTCACATGTTCATCTTTAGCAATCGCTCAGACGCTATCATGGCGACCGGTGAGTTAACGTGTCGATCCGCACGTTTTGCAGTTTTCCATATTTTATCTTTATTTTTCTTCTTCAGTGAAAAGCCAGTACGCTGCTCAAATCAAGCCCCTTTCACTTAAATGTGGCGACTATCAATACTTCGATGTCGCCAGTTTAAACGAGGAAAGATACGGTGAGGGATATTCAAATTATTATTGACAACTCGTAGTGCTGAAAAATTTAAAATTTCAAGTTAAGTTCCAGAAATGACTTTGTATACTCGAATTTGGGAAATTTAGACAAATGATTTAAGGTTACAGAAGTGATATGTATAAAATTTGATTTGTAGTCTTGGCTGAAATATGCCAAAAGATTCGCGAACCCTTGAATTTTGAAGATGGCTTAGGGAAAAGTTGAATGAGTTTGAACTATGACCCTCAGGATTCATGACTATTCATCTGACTATCATTTGAATAGCATCATTTCTATTGCTTCAACAATTTGTTCTCAAATTTCTAGTTTGGTAGGTAGGTTGATGATTATTTTGATCGCAATTTGTTTGTATTCTGTTCGGCTCACTCTATGCGGAAAATACCAATATTAACTAAGATCCCTCTCTTTTGTTAGAAGTTTTGTGTTGCATGATCATACGATATCGGGGTCTAAATACCCATAACTGCACGAATATCGTACCAGTATCGACTAGTCGGGGTCAAAGTATATGTGACTCTCTGTATGCGTTATTCTTCTCTCGTAAGTAATTGAAGTACACTTGTACGTAGCTGGATTTACTAATTAACCAATAAGTTTCACAATTCCGTGCGTCTGTTCAGTAATAGATCACATATGACGTCAAAATGTGGTTAGAACAAAAAAGACACACTTGAGGTGGAACCAAGTGTATCACTGATTTTCCTACCACATTTTGACACCTACCATGATCTACTGAACAGAACCACTATTTGTTTTACATAATAAAAGAAGTAATGTGTTTATGGTACTGATGTCATCAATGTGTCTGCCCTCTAATAGATCATAAATAAAATCCTTGTTAACTGAGTGTATAATTCAGCTTAAGATAAAAATTTCAGCTCTAACGTGGGATTTTGATTTAACAGAAATCAAAGGTTGCATGAAATTTGAGTAGTAGAAGAACAAGTTGACATTTTTTAAAAAATATTTATTTGATATACCATCCCATAGCTCGCCTACCATATTCAATCAGGGTACTATTGGAATCTGCTGTTCGTAACTGCGATGGCTTCCAAGTGAAGTCCAAGGATGTAGAAAACATTTTGGACTGGGAGAATAACCAAAAACAAAGTGTTGAAATCCCATTTATGCCAGCAAGGGTAATCCTGCAGGACTTCACGTAAGTCATGGAATTTTTCTTTTTGGAATCATGTCTGGTTTTGGAAAAATTTCTCATGTCTTGACCTGTTGGCATTCTTTCCATAATTCGAGCAGATTGTTGAAAGTTAATAGTTTTCAACTTTTCCAAAGAAGACATACTTTTGAAGAGATTGACCAACCTTCTCTGAGTACTGAAGTTAGTAAATAAAGTGTGAGAGACTAACTTTTAGGTTACCTGAGCTATTTTATGCTCAACTGTACGGCTGTTACACTTTATTTGATAGATTCTACTTTTACTTCACAATAGTCCCTTCTTCTGTACATTTCTTACTGAGAACCCTTTGTTCAGATTTTTACCTTGCTTCAAATAAATGCCCTTCCCCCCTTGCTCTATAAGTTTAATAATACTCTTAAACTACTTTCCTGCTAATAGTGGCACCTTCCCCTCCCCCCTCTCCTACAGTTAAAGATACCACTTGTTATTTACTTTTTGGTGTTTGTGTTTTAGAGGGGTTCCTGCAGTGGTTGATTTTGCTGCTATGCGAGATGCTATTAAAAGACTTGGAGGAGACCCAGCCAAAATTAATCCACTTTGTCCCGTTGACCTGGTGATTGACCATTCTGTACAAGTTGATGTTTCAAGAAGGTATGACTACAATAATTTGTGTAAACAATTAAGTGTTTTGTTAATATTAAAACTAGATCTTAACAAGCTGTATTTTTCAATTCACTGACTGTTAAACCAACTATGTGCCTGGCTTTAAGTGAACAATTAGAAAAAAATACAGGAACATCTTAGGAAAAGCAACAACCCATTGTATTTTAAAAAATCAGAATTTAAAAAAAAGTATAATTATGTTGTGGTTAGTTCTTAATCTCAGGGGCAAAAAAAGTCTGGAGTTTACTCTTGATTGCCATCCAGCTTTGATTATGATGATAAGGGTTTGGAGAGAAACAAATTAAAGAAATCTTCTCAGCAGAAAGTTTGCCCCTTGATATTCAAAATGATCTGCAAGAAATGGGTAACTGTTTTTTTAATAACTTTGTGAGAGTATGAAACAAAGAAAGCAATCAAATCACAGTAGAGAGTTTCAGTCTGGTGGGCAAACCTGATATTAATATAACAATAGAAATAGTGTTGATCACATTGTTTCTGGAGTATGCTGAGTCATCTTGTGTATAATTTAATATAGGATTAATATGCTTTATTGTTTTTATTTTTCTCTGCTTGCATATGTCTGTACTTAGACCTACAAAAAACTGAAAACTGGATCACATGTTATGCTGTTTTTTTTTTTTTTTTTTTTTGGTTTACGTGTGACCCCTTAACCCTTTAACCACCAGGAGTGACTAGCATCTAATTTGTCCTCACAATATCATCCCTAAATCATACATTAAGGTCGCAAGTATAATTGACATGATCAACAAGTACAGGAGCTCTTTATTTCTGGCAAATTCTCCTTGTCAACACCTTTGGAAACTTATACAAAACAGTATGAAGAATATGCATATGATTGTAGAGTGTAAAGGATTAAAGAGCTAGTTGTCCTTTACCCATAACAACAGAGGGTCAAATGAAGTCTTCAAAACTTGATTTCAAGTTTCTTTATGCAACAAATCAGAATCTCTGATGTTGTTTTTTCAGTCAAAGTCGTTTGTTTGATCCAGGGGGCAACTGGCTTAAGAAGGACCATCCATGTCCATTTCATTTGATGCCCACTGACTGGTGCGAGGCCACCCTCTCTTTTTTTTTTCTTTGCGCAAAACAAACTTAGTAACATTTGAGTGTTTGAGTATTGTTAGAAGGTTTACCTTTCTGCAACAAATGTTTCTGTTACAGCTGAATTTAATTTTGATTGCAGGTAAATTTCACTACCTATTGTAGTGTAAGTCTGTTCTTAATTTTCTTGTCCTCTAGCCCTAATTTTAAATTAATAGACTATGGAGGCAATGGAAATTAAGGATCACCTTTTTTTTTTTACCTGCATACACATCATTTAGACTAAAGGTGGCAGTGTTCTTTGGACTTGAGACTTTGTGAACTTTGTTAAGTCAGATGGGTGGAAATGATTTTTTTAATTCTAGATCAAATTCAGATGTTGAAAGATTTGATAAGTGGCCATAAATTCCAAAGTGAAAAAAAATTTGCACAACATACATGTTAACTGGGAATCCAGAAATATATTCAAAAGAAAAAAGCTATAGTTTTTCTCCCCTTAGGTGTACGTTTACAGCTATTATAGGTGATACTTAATATTACAAAATGTCTGTACTTTTTCTTTCTCTAGCTCTACAGCCCTGCAGAAGAATCAAGAAATGGAATTTAACAGGAACAAAGAAAGGTTTCTTTTTCTGAAGGTAATCAAAATTTTAGGTAATATTCCACCAAATTTTTTGCTTTATGTATAGTACACTACTTTTCATAGATTACTCCAAGGAAAGATTTTCAGTGTGGCACTCTGTTACTTTGGGCATTAGAGCCTATACACTGTCCATAATAAGTGTACCATTTGGCCACAAAGTGTCTTGATAGCTTTGTGAATATTTCCTTTCTTCATTACTTTCTTTGTTTTATTTTCAGTGGGGATCAAAAGCTTTCAAGAACATGACAATTGTTCCACCTGGTTCGGGCATAGTTCACCAGGTATGTCTTATCAAAGCACGCTTCTTAATTGAAATCAGTGTTGTGCAGTTAATTGAACTTATAACAAGCAACTGATAATTGCCGCAGTGATTTTGTAACATTAACCAGTATAAATTAGCTGTATATGCACTATAGAAGCCAGTAAGCATTCAAGTCTGTGGCAATTCAGCTAAATTCTAACTAGAGTACACTCACCCTTGATCAAAAACTTGACTACTCATGCTCTCAATTTGTAAGCTATGGGAACTTTTTTACTCTTGTGAATTGATTACTATTAATCGCGCAACTGCTCTGGTTTCTGTTTCAGGTCAACTTGGAATATCTTGCCCGTGTTGTCTTCAACATGGAAAAATTTTTATATCCTGACAGTGTTGTTGGAACTGATTCACATACAACAATGATCAATGGACTTGGAATTGTGGGATGGGGTGAGACATTTTTCCTTGAGTATGCCTTGTGTTTCAGTTTTTTTCTTACAAAGTTAGAAAGAGAAAGAAGGGGAAAAGTTGTGTTAAGTACTTTCAAATTGTTGCCTCAAACCCTGAGTTTTTGTTTGTTCTTGAACCCTTTACACCCTAATGTCAGTATGCATATTCTCCATACTGTTCTCTATAAATTTCCTTGGGTGCTTACAAGAAGAATTTGTTCAACAATCCTGAGTTTCTTTTGGTGACGGTTTCCTTTATTCTCAAGACCTTTATGAGTGATTTGAGAGTGTTATTGTAAGGAGAAATAGTATGCTAGTCACTCTTAGGTGTCAAAGGGTTAAGGGATCTTGGGTTAGCTGAAAAAAATTAACTGCAGAAGTGAATCTTTTTTCAATTTTGCCACATGTACCCTTTAAATAAGTCATACCTACAAGATTTATGTAGACACTTGAAGGCTGTTAGTAACTCTATTGCCTGTAAATAATCATGCAAGAAATTAAATAATATGTAATAGTGAGCTCTAGGTAGGAAGTGCTGCTCAAGTAAGAATACTTAAATTTACAATTTTCTCATTTGGAATAATTCATATCAGGTGTTGGAGGTATTGAAGCTGAAGCAGTCATGCTGGGTCAGGCCATTAGTATGGTACTGCCAAAAGTTGTGGGATATAAGCTGACTGGAAAAGTAAAGCAATTCATCACTTCTACTGATGTTGTTCTCACTATCACCAAGGTAAACATTACATACTAAGTAAACATCTATCAAGAATACTTTTCTAATATAAATTTAAGAGTTTATTCTGGTTTGGTGAACATGAAATGGCTAAATCAAAATGAGGGCTCAGTTTTCAGTGGAAAAAAAATACTTTTTTGGTACAATTTTAGGCAAGCAATGATGATAACAGAGCTGAACCTGCGTCTTTTTAAATTCCTAATTAGCTAGGCCTCCTATATCACCAGGAGCTAAGTTCCCCTCTCTTTGTGAGAAGTGTGTGGGTTCCTTAATGTCCCCCATTAACCAGCACAGAGAAGATGCAGGAGATGGGGTCAAGGGTTTATAATCATTATCTGAGAAGACTAGAATGTCTAACCATTTGCTGATGTCATAGCAAAGGCAGCACATTCCCCTCAGTTATTATAGGACCCTGAGTGTATGTCTGGTCTGGGGCTTGAGCCTTTGACCTCCGTATGCCAGTTCAGCTACCTACAACATGAGCTAACCAATTGTGGTCTATTGTACATACATTCATGTAAACAGGTTTATGAAATAACAACTGAACAATGACAAAAACGAGAATGTCATAACACCCCTTACTGCTTTGTTGAAGGCCTTTGCTCTCTTGATGACAGAGGAGTGTTTCATGTCTTGCAGCATCTTCGCCAAATTGGTGTTGTTGGGAAATTTGTGGAGTTTTTTGGACCAGGAGTGAGTCATCTGTCTATAGCAGATCGTGCCACCATTGCCAACATGTGCCCAGAGTATGGTGCAACTGTTGGTTTTTTCCCTGTGGATGAGAAGAGCTTGTTGTATCTCAGACAGACAGGTAAAATGTTCGGAAAAAATTTTATAATGATATTGATATCTTATCCAAATACTGACCATCAAGTTTGGTGCATATTGCAGTGAAGACAAGTGACAGTTTATCTTAACTTTGCCAACTCTTACACAGATTACTGAGACTCTGAAACAGATTATGAATCTTCTTACATTTGTTCTCACCAGCTATCAGTTCTATAGAAAATAGGAGACCAAAATAAGCTGAATTGGTCAAAAAAATTTATGACAAGTTTTAGTTGTGTTTAGCTCTCAACAGAGTCTGATTATGTTTTCTTTTAATGTCACCTCCTCCCGTTTCAGTCTTCCTCTTTTCTTTTATTATCTAGTTCACTGACTCTCACTAGAGTTTCATGTTGGTGGAGACTGATTTTTGCCCATTCACAATGCTAACTTGCTGACAGCATGAAGTTTCTGTTGACTCTAGGTCGTAGTGAAGAGGCACTTGAATGTGTTGAAGCTTATGCAAGGGCTACAAAAATGTTCAGGGACTACTCTGATCCAAGCAGTGATCCAGTGTTCTCTGAGGTGAGGTAGATTGAGCTGATGTTACCTAGAATTTGCAATATACTGGTACTGACCCTTAAACCCTCAAGTTCGGATTGTTAATTCTCTACATTGGTTGGTGCACAATTCCTTGTAAATTAGTTGTAAGAATGTGGTGTAATATCCAGATAACAACTTCTCCCTGATAAGTTTGGGTATTTTCATTACCTGTTTGTTGGATAATGTACATTTCTTAATATTATAGGGAGAAGTTAAATGTTAATCACTTCTGAGAGTTTAAGGGTTAATATGAGAGGAGGATGTTAAGATGATTGTAACAAATCTTGCTCAAGAACACAACCCAGTGATCCTCTCTACAGCCAGAGCTAGAAAATAATTTGGACTACCCTGCTTGATTTTATTTTAACAGGCTAAAAGAACAGAATAGGATAAGAGGTGTGGCTCATATGGGAACATTTACATGTAACCCCTTCAATGAGGCCTTTAAATTGTGTTTTTGCTGATTTAAACCAATATTTCATCAATACTTATTGATTTAACTCTGATCACAACAAAACTGATCGAGGAGCTCCCATGAAACCAGACTGCAACTGGCAAACAATGTGTCATGGTTACATCCATCCAGGTTATTGAAAGTCAGTCACCATTGCTGAAAAAAGTCTTTTTATGGACTACCCCTAGTCAGAAGTCTGCACACTCATGATTTATATTGCATTTGTGTTGCTGTTACAGGTTGTGGAGTTGGACTTGTCTACTGTGGCTCCATCAGTATCAGGTCCCAAGAGACCTCATGATAGGGTGTCTGTATCTGTAATGAAGCAGGATTTTACAGACTGTTTAAACAATAAGGTTGGATTTAAAGGGTTTGGAATCCCCCCTGAAAAGCAAAGCACGGAAGTCCCTTTTATTTTTGATGGTCAAGAGTTCAAGTTGGCTCATGGTAAGAACTCTTATCTTTCTTTAAACTTGTTTGATATTTATGTGTACTATATTATTATTATTAATAGTAATATTATTGGGCTTAGTATTGTCAAAGATTTTGTTGTCACTGCCGTTGTTGTTATTGTCATTGTTACTATCAGTTACAGTGAAGGTTGTATTTCAACTGTTGTCAAAAGAGGTCTTGAATGCAAAACCATTTCAGTTGCATTGAATCAAAGATTGATTTAGACATGGGTGAATTTGTTTAAAAGCAGGTAGCTGCACATCAACTTGGGCATTGTATAAAGCACTGCACATGGTTATACACAATGAATTCTTTGAAAATTTTGTTCTTAACGCCTAACTCCCACGAGTGACAAAGACAGAATTTCTCCTTACTATATCAGTACAATATCAAGCAGACAAGTGATGAGAATAAAGAAAAATATTAATTAGGGGATTATTAGTTGATCCTACACCAAATTCTCCAAATTAGCATCACAACAACTATATGGCAGACAGTAAGGAGAGTTATTAATGAGATCTTGGGAGTTAAAGGGTTAAGACATGGTATTTCTTACAAAATTTTTATAACCATATGCTTTCAATATTTTTCTGCCTTTGATTGTTAAATTACCTACTGAAGGCTACAGAAAGTGACCTCTTTAGATGAACAGCGTCTGCAAGTGAATGTGATTGTTCTTTCACTGCACTTTATCCAGGTTCTGTGGTGATAGCTGCCATCACTAGTTGTACAAACACAAGCAATCCATCAGTCATGCTTGGGGCAGGACTGTTAGCAAAGAAAGCTGTTGAACTGGGACTGAGTGTCAAGCCATACATCAAGACAAGCTTGTCCCCTGGCTCTGGTGTGGTTACCTACTATCTCCAGGAAAGTGGTGTCATACCAAGTCTGGAAGAATTAGGGTGTGTAATCAAAGACTTTCCAGCTACATGTTGTTCAAAATAGAAGTATGCCTTAGGAACCATTCTTTTTGACATAGAATCAACCAGACTCTTAACACCCTAACTTCAGTATGTATATTCTCAACACTGTTCTCAGTGCATTTCCAATGATAATGACAAGGAGAATTTGTCTAACTTCCAAGAGCTTCTTTTGTTGTTGATCATTTCACTGTTCTCATTATCTTAATGATTGATTCAGGGATGGTATTGTAAGGAGAAAGTAGATGCTAATCACTCTTAGAGGGTAAGGGGTTATTAACAGGAGGGTTTCTTTTTTTTTCACCGACAGTTAGTGCCCAAAATTTAACTTGATGCCGCTGTAATTTTTTCTGTGTTACAGGTTTAATATTGTGGGTTATGGCTGTATGACCTGTATAGGCAACTCTGGTCCACTATCTGAACCTGTTTCTGAGGCCATAGAAAAGGTTTGTGTCCTTATCAATGACATCTTGTTGAGTTAAGTATATGAAGAATTTCAGATGACGTCTCTCTGTCAAAACGTCATGTGCAAGTACTCTGTTTGAAAGGTTGTTTGTCAGAGTTCATGTCTGAGGAATGGTAGTCTATAGGGTAGGGTTTTCAATTAATTGAGTACAGTTTTCCATCTTTCTATTGTCTCTTTTTTTTTCTACTTCAGTTTTTTATTGTAGCCAAATTAAGAAAACGTTTTCTTTCTTGGAAAAGGTGAACATAACAGAGACCTGTGCTATATTTTCATTTCATGGTCACCTCTTTTCTTTCATATTCAGTACAACCCTGTTATATGGGTCAAAGACTTTATTCAGGATTAATTTAGGATCTATCTTTCACATGGTCTTCTCGAGCTCATATTATACTATTTTTGTTTGTGTATGTTAATCATCATGCAGTGCGTTCATTTTCTGTAGCATAGTTTTTCTTTGTCTCTACTAAATCAATTGAATTTTTCATTCGTCCTCTTATCGTTGCTTAAAAAGTTTGAGTTTTCCCTTAATTCTATTGCTCAATCCAGTCTTCATCTGTGAACAGTGTAATTTAGTATTGTCAATGAGTTGATAACGTAAATTGGCCACCGGAAAGAGTTCAAAAGCTGACGTTTCGAGCGTTAGCCTTTCGCCAATCGCTCTGAAGAAGGGCTAACGCTCGAAACGTCAGCTTTGAAACTCTTTACGGTGGCCAATTTACGTTATCAACTCGTTGATACTACTAAATTACCCTGTTATGCTCGCCCAGCGATGCAACACCACAGTTTCTATTAAAATTATCCCCTTTATTCATTCATCTTTGAACAGATAGGTTTCATGTTCGCTCCTTTTGTTAACCACGTAAAGACATTAAATTTCGTAACCACATGTATCATTTAAGCGTAATGAAAAAAAATGGCATGTTGCTTTCAGGGTGACCTTGTAGCTGTTGGAGTGCTGTCAGGAAACAGAAACTTTGAAGGCCGCATTCATCCTTTAACGAGAGCAAACTACCTTGCCTCCCCTCCCTTAGTAATCGCTTATGCCATTGCTGGAACAGTTCTTATAGACTTTGAGACAGAACCCCTAGGTAAGACAATCTTACAGAATTTTCTTTTAGATCTTTTCTCAGGTACACAAGTTCTATCCGATGATTTGAAGAGTACTTGAGAGCTTCTACTTAAAGTAGTTCATGCTTCTGTGTTTTATTTGGTAGGCATTTCGAAAGATGGAAAAGAAGTATTTCTCAGAGACCTCTGGCCAACAAGAGATGAACTTCAGGTTTGCGCTTTGCGTTTAAAACTCAATATTTTCATCACTAAGTGCTTGCATCTCTTTTTGTGACAATTTTTAGATTCGTTCAGTCAATCATTTGGAACCACATGCAACGTACTGTAAAGAAATCGTTTTGGGAGATAGAAAGAACTATTATTTCCCGGTTAATACTTAATGTTATTAATTCCCCTGTCATGTCTCTGTACTAATCATAGTTTGAACTGGCTCTGTGAATTCATTGTATCCCCTTTGCAAAAATGATTATAAAGCTTTATGATATTCCAGTAAGATTCAAGCTTCATATCCTGGGCTACTCTTAAGAGTAGCTTTACTTTATTGAGATCTTTGCCTTCTTCTGACATAAAGTTAGGTACTAAGCTGCGTGAATTTGATGGATCTTTCCCGTTTTCACAGGAGGTTGAAAGACAGTATGTTATACCGGCTATGTTCAAAGAAGTCTATTCCAAGGTGTCGGTAAGTAGGGCACAAAAACTTGCTTTAATTGTATAACTGCTGTATTACTCCGCCCAATTTCTTAGTTCGGACACATTAAAAGCAAGAACCAATTTGTTTAAAAAATAGATTTTTCTTTTTAGGATAAAGGCTAGGATTACGCTTTGGCGTTTAATGCATCTGAAAAGCAAGAATTGTGACCCACAGTGAACTTTCTTTCCTTTGATCAAAATTAATTTCAAATACTGTTTCAGAGCGGTAACCCTCGTTGGAACTCTCTGGAAGCACCCGATAGTATGCTGTATCCATGGGATGTGAAATCAACCTATATCAAACATCCACCTTTCTTTGAAATAATGGTGAGTATTTGAAGAACCTTACATTTCAAAAGCCGAACACTTAGCGTTTCTCTCTTCCTCGGTACCATTGACAAAATGCAAGGCAGCCATTTTGAAATTTAGCGCCCTGCAATAATCACCTCATGCGATGTGATTATAGCGAGATATAATGCAATCCTTGACCAATCGGAGAGCGCGAATCTCTTTGATCACTTGAAAAATTATACTGAAATAAAGAGGGTAAGTTTCTAAAGAAACTGTTGTGCTGAAACTGGTGGGGTAGTACAAGATAATTTGGTTTTATCAACTGAGTTGATAATGTCAATTGGCCACTGTAAAGAGTTTCTAGAGCTGACGTTTCGAGCGTCAGCCCTTCGTCAAAGTAAATGGCTCTCATGAAAGACTAATGCTAATTATTGGTTTGAAGTAGAACTTGATCAGAAAAGTTCCCATCATTGGCCCCAGAATGAGTCAGTGTGTGTTTGTGTTTTACTTCCAGGCCAAGGAGTTGCCAGAGCGTGTCAGCATTTCAGATGCTGCTGTGCTGTTGAACTTGGGCGACTCAGTAACCACTGACCACATCTCACCTGCGGGCAGCATCTCTCGCACCAGTCCTGCTGCTCGGTATCTAGGTAGCAAGGGGTAAGTTTGATAAGAACTCTGTGTTCTTTTCGAATCTCTCTTTTTGTTTTGTTTTGTTTTGTTTTGTTTTGTTTTGTTTTGTTTTGTTTTGTTTTGTTTTGTTTTGTTTTGTTTTTTTGTTTTGTTTTGTTTTGTTTTGTTTTGTTTTTTTTGTTTTGTTTTTTTTTTTTTTTTTTTTGTTTTTTTTTTTTTTTTTTTTTTTTTTTTTTTTTCATCGGCGAATTAAACTCTCCTTTCTCTGGTCAAGAAATTTAAATGATGTGACAATGATCCTTCTCATGAAAGGCTCCTCCTCTGCTCTATTTGAAGGTTATTTACAAACCTGGCCAGCTCATTTTAAGTGATTATGTAACGTCGAGCAGCAATCCACGACTGGTCAAATAATTTAAATGTATGTGAAGGTGATCTTCCTTGTAAAAGACTCTCCCTCTCGGCCATATTTGAAGCTTTTGCCGCAGTACTGTAGCCTGGCTAACTCATTTTAAATAAATTCTTCGGCTTTCATCTGTTTTCAGGCTTGCACCTCGGGAGTTCAACTCGTATGGTTCTCGGCGTGGAAACGATGCTGTAATGGCGCGTGGAACATTTGCCAATATCAGACTGGTCAATAAGTTCATTGGTAAAGCTGCACCTAAAACTATCCACAATCCTTCGGGGGACACGGTATGGTAAACATAAACATTATGGCTTTCACGGCTAAGGAAAAAAGCTTGAAATTTTGTCGTCTGCCTTTAGCTGCTTGCATGATTGAGTGATCATGTTTTTATACAAGTTGTTAATCGAGGATTTCCCAACGTCCCTTTTGCAAAATCTCGGGCATTTTGAAAGCGATTTTCCAACCGAGTGTTTGAAGTAATTCAGGAGGGGGCTAGTATTTCTCTCTCCTAACAGAATGAGGGAACGAGGCTGTTCATTTTCAAAGCGGGACACAGGGTGAAATCACGTGCAGGCTAGAAAACCGCTTTGGTAGCCAAGAAAAAAGGCAGGATTCGTTTCATTTCGCCGTATATCAAAGCGTTAGCGATGATAAAAATTATGCCTTGCGCCGAGGAATTGAAAGGAGATTATGTTAGCACCGTGTACTTGGTCTTTCACTGTGTGTATTTATGCTGTGATATTATCGAGTTGTTGGTTTTATTTATTTACTATCGCTCTTACTCTGCAGATGGATGTTTTTGATGCTGCTGAACGATACCACCAAGAAGGACGGCAACTCATCATTCTGGCCGGCAAGGACTATGGGTCGGGATCTTCACGTGACTGGGCGGCCAAGGGACCCTGGATGCAGGTACATAGGGCAAAACTGAACCCAGGTTTTATGGACCTGCAAGCTCTGTTTTTAGATTTATGTATTGTAGGCTAAATACTTAGTTTAACTAACTGTTCATTTATCTCTGTTCTGTTCAGGGTGTGAGAGCGGTGATATCAGAGAGTTTTGAACGAATTCATCGAAGCAATTTAGTGGGAATGGGTATTATGCCCCTGGAGTATCTTCCCGGTCAAAACGCAGAGAGTCTGGAACTCACTGGAAAGGAGAGTTACACTATTGTGGTACCGGAAGACCTGAAGACTGGCCAAACACTGGAAGTAAAGGTAGACTGTTGCTTTAGCTTGTCTTAAAATTGAATCAGAAGAATGCGGGCTCCTTTGGCCTATTTTTTTCTAGGGAAGACAAAGGTAAAAACTTCCAACAGACTGTCTATATGACCGTCTGTTTGAATGATTGATTGATTGACTGACCGAGTGGTTTACCTATGACGTCTTATTCATTGCAGCTGAGTGATGGCCGGTCTTTCAATGCTAAGGTCCGTTTCGACACGGACGTGGAACTGACGTACTTCAAACACGGAGGAATCCTGAACTACATGATAAGGAGCATGCTACATTAAGAAAACAGCTGGATCTAGGGACATACGACATCTAGCGAAAATATGAGATCTACAATATTGGAATCATCGAACACGGGGAACGCCGGAACACAACAGATATCATTGGCGTTTGTGTTTCTATCCTTTTTTCGAGCGAATCGGTCGAAGAAGAGTCTTAGTTTTTCAATAACATTATATTTAGATAATTTATGAATTGAGCCTGACTATTTAAGAAGAATATCAGGAGAGCTACAATTTTTATGAGTAGCTAACTCTATTTTTAATTATGTTAAAGGTGACTATTGAAACCCGAATATTAAGGAAAATAATTTTCAAGTATCGAGGTTTAGCGAAAGCAAGCTAGTCTTGCTGTTTCACACACCGAGATGGCCACTCTGTATTTAAGAATTTGAAAAAAGTGCTCATCTGGAAATAAATTGGAGGAAAAAAGGTAATCAAATATTTGTGGTTTCTTTCGCTTTGTATATGTAATCACATGAGGCCAAGTACTATTAAGGATTAATTGCACGAGAGTTTTCAAAATTTTCCAAAATTGCCCGAGTCGCGAAGCGACGAGGGCAATTTGGAAAATTTTGAAAACTCAAGTGCAATTAATCCTTAATAGTACGAGGTCTCATGGGATTACTTGTTTATCAATATAGGGCAAAATTTATACGATGGAAAATCACGCGCGCAGTCTATTTTTATCTGGGAAGCCTGTTTAGCGCTACGGCAAATCATCAATCAAATTGAACTGACCAATCGATTCAATGAAATTTTATTCTCCAAAACTGTGTCGTGATACACTGCCAAAAGTCTAGAAAACAAAGCTCATTTCAACAGAGCGTTTCTGCCAACAGAAAAACAACAAAGTGCTTTTAACTGAACAAGGTAATCATGCCCTCTCTTGATTACTAAAAATGCCCTCGATTAAGAAAAAATGCCCTCTCTCTCAACCAATCAGCGCTCAGTAATTTTGCCCTTTATTGATAAGTGGATCGTATCGACAATTGTATCGTTTGTCGTTCTCCTGGTTTTCTCGCCAACATTCGAAAAAGAAGGGTAAACATCAAAGCAGACTCACGAGAACAACAAAAGTTGGCCGGATTGAAGCAATTATAGCGCGTCAAAACGCACGAATAGCAGTCAACCTGCATGCTGCATTTCGCGACGCTTACGCATTCGCTCTCATCATCTGGCGAAGACCTTTCAGCCTTAAACTCCCAGAAGTGATTACCATGCAACTTCTCCGTGTAATGTCCATACGCTATACAGCAAACAGATAATGAGAACACTCAAACTCATCAAGTACAATTTATTACCGTAATTGAACACCTGATTCTCGTAATCAAGTCACAAGGAAATGTTTTGTAGCTAGAAGGGAGAATCGACAATCAGATCTTGGGAATTAAAGGGTCAATTGATAGCGATTTCAAGTTATATCGTGAGATCAATCGGAAGTGGGGAAGGATTAACTGAAGTTCCCTTAGGGGTTCAACAAGAGTTCTCATTATATCAACGCCTTGGAGTATGCTCTTGGCCTTTGAGATTCGTTGGGTTTAGTGACATTTGATCGAGACGTGCTCTTGCACTATCCCAAAATACCCAGAGAATCACTTAGACAAGCCTTTTCCAAGTGTGCGATGGTAAATAGAGCGCGACCCGTTCAAATCCTCCGTTATTTTTCCTCTCCGCATAACTACCTCGCCTGGAACTGAAAAGCCTTTTCTTAAAAAAAGCCAAGTTTTCTACCTTAAAATACATTTTGATTTGTTTATGATGAATGCGTGATTCACCTTGATTTCATAGGTTTTATTAAACCTTCCCTTGGATACAAGAAGTACTGAAGTATATATGTAACACTTATAGTCTGACGAACGATTTATCTCGTGGATTACGAATGATACTATATGTAAACATTTAGAAGACTTCTACGGAAGATAAATACCGCGGGATAAGATGAGATTAGTTTCAGTCTGCCACGAGCTAGTAAAGAAAGGCCGATCTGACTACTCTGATTGAGATCGCTGAATTTCAGGTGTCTTATTATGCAGAGCGAGTGTATTGCCACGTAAGAAGCTCGTGACAGGGGTCATGTTTGGTTTGGGTGTATAGTGATGGGAGGGAGCAAGGCGAGACTCTAGCTGTCCTCCTCTTACTCTTGCCTGCTGTCCTCTGCCTCATTAGAAATATCTCTCTCCCCTCCAAAACGTCGGGAAGAAATACCCAAAATATGCCGATGTGGCAGTGCAAGAGATAAAGCCTCGGCGATTTACTACTAGTAAACTGCTACAAGACCTTACTCGTTTCCAGTCGTCATAAGCAGGAGGCGCGCCAAGACCGCCATTAGGCTGACCCCTTCGAATGGCGCCGATCTAGCTCGTTCTAATCTCTCGCTTTGAAAGACCGACATGAGACTAATGAGATAAATAAAATACCCCCGGTAAACTTAATTGAAAACCAGCGACAGTTACTGTTTTATGTGTACTTCGTTCTGTTCTGGTTTGATAGCAAACTGATGAAACCTTTTGCTCAATCATAAACAACTTACGTTATCAAAATTGCTTAAGAATAATACGCTTGCTTCCGGCCTAAATGTTCTTTCGCTCATTCCGATGCATTTTACAAGAACCTCCAACAAACGCTTTCCTGTCCATTGCGTAGCCCCTGAAACGATCAAGAAGACTTCACAACCCTCCACTGCAGTGTACTCGCATCCCGACCACCAACGGAGATTAGTCGGGTGTCATCGTGAAGGAATCGTACATTCATGACATGCGCACTGTGACCTTGAAAAATTCTTGGCTCAGCCTATACATAAGAAAACAAGTAATTAAAACAAAATGGAAAATCAACAGATTTAATAACAGAATACAAGCAATCTTCTTTCCCCTTTTAGCAGGCGAAAAGTGATGAGAAGGGTGCCGAAAAAATGAACTTAATCGAGCTTTTACCTTCTTACTGACACAAGGATATCTGTACAGATTAACATTGCCAAAGTCATCCCCCGTAGCTGTCAAATGCTTTCCACTAGAGCGATCCACAGAGTTCACATCAGTTCCGTCTGCCCCGTCCGGCCAAATTCCTGTACGGGTCAATAGACACAGTGATCATTAAAGCTAGACACGGTGTTTCTTGTTTTTGCGTCGCCCAGTGCGATTGTTTTGTCAGATATCGACGGTGACTTAAAGGGAACGCCACCGGTTTTATCTGTATATATAATACCCGAAAGTTATGCGATTCTCTAAATCAAGCAAGTAATCTACCACTTTCCAACGTGAAATAGGAGGGTTTCATATCGTTTACAGCAGCAAACGCCAGTTAATAATGAGGGTATCGTAAGAAGTTCTGCCGACGACGTTTACTGCTAAACTCATTGCAGGCGAAAACCACATTGCGAACATGCTACTTACCAATGACAGTGTAACCCAGGACACAGTTGTGCGAGGCCCACTCTGTGTTGCGCATGCTCTCCGTCTGGGTTATTTGCTCTCCTTGAAGAGGCTCCCCTGACAGCGAAAAAAATTGTTTAGCTGAGTATCACTTAAACATACTATGGAGTAATCATGTTAGCAAACAAATTTCACTTCTGGTTGGAAAAAATTGCCAATATTGATGACGATAGTTTCATTTGCAATGACGGTAGCGATGGTAGTGGTGATAGGAACGTAATGGTAGAGGATAAGGTAACAATATCGATAACGGTAACGATGTCGATAACGGTATCGATAACGATAATAACGGCATTAATAACAGTAACGATATCAATAACTAACAATAACCATGACGATAACGGTATCGTTAACGATAATGGTATTAATAACGTTGACGATCACGGTATCGATAACGGTAACGATAACAGTAAAAGTAACAGTAATGGAATGGGTAATAGTAGCAGTAACAACAATAGTGGCTGCAAAGGTAACGGAGGTCACTGTGGTGATGTGTATGGTAATAATAATAATTCAAAATGAATTTAATTAAATCATTCAAAAGTTAGTTTCACTCTTTTAAAGTAATAAATTGTGAATCAACAGCAATCCTTACAAAAAAGCAATTCATAATCCCTTGAGGTACTTTGAAGTTTTTCTCCATCTGTGGACCAGTCCAGGTGACTAACTGAGCTTGTGTGACCCTGCGACAATGACAACATTAACTTGTGAATGAAAGGGAAACAAAAACTCTGATCACTTTATCTAGAAAAACACGGAGTGGTCGATTTTGATTCTTAATTTCACGCAGTTGAAAGTTCATATTTCCTATTACCGATAAAATATATAACCGGTTCATATAACCATGTTTCATTCTGTTAATGAAGAGTGCTTAACAACAAATACTTATAGATGCACTAAAAACTTGCGAGCTGCCGTCCCTCGGGTCCGTAATTTTAACGGTTGGGCTGTGGGTAAGCACCAGAAAGTCACGCAAAACTACAAACAAAAGACAAACAAATCCTCAAGTCTTTACCTTACAACGAGCCTTGAGAGATACAGACCTTCCCTCAGTTCGCAGTTCATAGATGTAGACGTCATTGTCATGACAACCAAGAGCTACATGACTTCCATCTAGTGATAAAACACACACAAATTTAGGTACTAGTCTCGACCAAAAAAGGGTGAAAATTATCATTTTGTGTAGTGGACCCAAAGTTGCTTGCTCGCACTTTACCTGGAGAAAATTGAATTTCTGATATTTTCTCAGGAGGTTCAGATTTGCGAATAAAAATGGTATCTCCAGTTGACGAGTTTATCAACATCCACCTGAAAAGTGACACAAAAAGTTGCACCATTAGGATGACATTTTGATGAACTACATAGTCCTCAGGTTCAGTAATTTAAGGGAATTCGGTTGACATACTCAAATGGATCCTTGAGTTAAAGATTGTTGCTGGCTTTTTTTGGACCTAACAAAATGTTTCAAAATAGTCGTCCAATCATGACGAACTAACTGGCCAATAGCCCAGTAAAAAAAAATTCATTAACAACATGTGACACAACAACTTGCAAAGATACGCACGGTCACGTAACTTCCAACATAAACCACAATACCGTTGTTTTTTTACCTTTGTTTTTGCTCTTTGTTTTGGGCTTTCACATACCATTTTCCATACTAACTATGTCTTGTGCTTACTCACCCTCCTGCCTTGAAGCCAACAGCAATGGAGCTGCCGTCAGGATGAAAAGCTGCCGCTCGCATCTCTGAAGTCTGGGAAAAAAAGTTTGAAAACTTCATTATAAGCGAGCATACTGTAAGAAACTATCATTGCCTCTGGGCTTCATGTCCGTTCTTATAATTACCATATTCCTTTTAAGCGCTTCTAAATGCGACTCAGTTCAGATAAGGAATTATTTGGGTTTCACATATACAAAAGTGAATAACTTTTAGCTCTTTACCTTAAAAATAATAATTTTCTTGATTTTTAAAAATATGGATTAAAATAGAACGATAGACTTTCTCATGCACTCACCAATTTGTTGTTTGACCACATGACCCGACGTTCAGCGGCATTCCACAATCGTAATATCTTATCACTTCCGGCCGTGACAAACAATGGAGAGCTGGGATGAGTAGCTAGTCCTCTTAAATCTTGACAATGCCCCTATAAAACAGATTGATAGCATTAATAATAATATTGATGATTATGAGAACAATAATGATTATGATAACAATAACGATGAAAACCACAATAACGATGAAAACCACAATAACGATAGAGGTAACGATGACTATCACGACGATGATGACGATAACGACAATTTTATTACTTAAATGAAACGATAGCAACAACGAAATGAAAAACAATAACAAAGACGACAACGCTACAAGAGACCATAACAATATCGATGATACTAACGATAACGATGACGACTACAGTAACGATGATGATGACGACAACAGTAAAGATGGCGACGATAACGATGAAGACGATGATGATGACGATGACGACAACAATAGCGATAACGATGACGATAGTGACAATAATGATGATTTTAACTTAGTGCAATTTCACAACCTAACCAGCTGAACCGATCAAACATACTCCAGCTCCAGCGTTAACAATCTTAAGTGAATATCTGCATGTAGTCGATTGAGCCCGCTGACAGCACACACCTTTGTTGTGCGATTTACACCATTAAAGGGCATGTAAACCCAAAAATACATGTTTTTCTTATACTGTGTAAAAAGTGGCGTAGAAAACGAATTTGAAATTCGTTTTGTCCAATTCGACTTATTTTAGGAGAAAATCGGCATTTTCAACTGAAATTCCATTTCCGGTAAAAACAATAGCGAGAAGTCGTGACGTAAGCGGTGGAACTAAAATATTGCGCAACACATATTCCCCAATAGAACTGGTGTGGGAGTTCGTGTAAGTAGCGGTAGTTTGGAAGATATTTTTTCAGAAGATAGCGACTCGAATGCCTTAAGCTTAGTACATGACAGCGATGGGGATAATCCAGAATCTTCAGGAGAGTCTGGGCCACGTTCTTAACAATATGAGCCGCGTAGGGTTCACTGAAGCGATCCGCACGAAGACAGTACAGAACATGTCGATGCGACCGTCTCGGAAACTCAGACTGGTATTTAATTTACTGTGTGATTTATTTGTATTTGACATGAAAATCCAATAAAGCGAGGGTACAATCTAAAAGAATGCAACAGAAATTTTTTAAACTTGAGCTTCTGAGAGTGTTTTATATAAAATTATCAAAGGTGCGAGTGTGGAACTTGTCAACCAATGCCGACAACTCATGAAAGTGTTGTTGTACAGAAATCGGGCAATTGTGGCAAAAAGTAGAGTAGAAAGGGCCTGAAACCCATATAAGTTGTATCACTGAGCATCCAGGTTTTCAGTCAATTTGCCTTGATTTCTGGGTGCTGTAGACGGCCAATTGCGCGTACAGGCAGCAGCAAGGCACAGATAATCACACCGGAAACGAGTGAGCTAAATGTTTTCTGTTTCATCTGTTTTGTTACATTTTGAGATCGATTTGCTTGGGTTGTTTTTGCCATTGACTTAATAATACAATACTAGAACTAGTTGTTTTTCGCTTCTTTCCTGGCAGGAAATTTCGCTAAATTGCCTACAGATAGCTTGTTCGTTGGTGTTGGGAATATCTCGGCAAACACTTCTGGGTCGCTGTGCCATCTTGTGCGTTAAACAATATCCGAAACATTTTTCCAGCGGATTTTGGATCGCCTTACACTGGATTAAAACCGCCAAACCTTTGAGAGAAACAAAGGTATATGTTAATGCAGATCTTAGTTATTTATGTCTTACAGCACTGGAGGTTATGCCCGTTCTTTATGAGATATCTATGTATTGCTTTCCTTCATCTCCGAAGCATTTCCATCGATAAACAAGTTGTACCATATACATTTCCTTGTGAGGCCTTCATAATTATCCAACCCTGTTTGTGTTTGCTTCGATTTGAAATACTGAAAAGATAGTTTTGCAAGCTGAAATCAGGATCTTTTAAGTTGTACTCAAAATGATGAATATTGTCCTACTGACCTTTGAATGTATTTTCACTGCTGTGAAAATCGTGACACAAATTCTTCTGCTGTTTCTCTGCAGGGTTTCTCAAAGGAAGCACCAAGTGGGGCTGGCATGTATTTTCTTATAGAACATAAGGGTTGATTATGGGATTCTGTATAGAATTCTTTGCATCGAACCAACAAAATTCCAGATCACGTTATTACACACTGACATCAACGAATTCTCTTTCTTTGATACGTGTTTCGAATTCAGGAAAAGGATCAGAGGAGTCAGTGTCTTTTATGGGCTCAGCGCTAGCTCCCGAACAACTGGCTTCCCCATAATCTTTCATTAGATGAGAAAAAAGATGTTTTTAGAGAACCAATAAAGCTATCGTTGTTTAATTAACGAAACGTTTTCATGTAAATCGATTTTGTACTGTCTCCGTTGACCTCTAACTTTTGAAGAGCTCAACTTCTTTCTCAGTTCGGTCGGCCACTTCCGAATCCTCGTCGTCTACCGACTGTATGGGTCGTTTTTATACTTCCGAATAATTTGCTTCTAGTAAGGCCTGAATCTTCGGTACAGCACCAGGAAGAAAAATTACTGCTACAAACAATTTGTGAAATTTGTACAAGTGAAAATAGCCGATTTCGTCGAGTCGCTTCAAATTTGCGTCATTTGGAAATATTTGCATTGTATGCCCAGTTTTGTTTAAATCAGTACAAAACTGGACGATACAACGCTTTACCATTACGAAAAAATTGAATATATTGAAGCAAACTGTAAGTAAAAAATCATGACGAGACCGGCGAACAACGGCTGTAGAAAAGACTCCTTCGTGCCTCACGCGATTATAAAACAAGACTTTGTAGGGTCCACCCGTGACGTCACAGGAAAGATGGCGAATGTTTCGAATTTGGAAGAGCTTTTACAAAGCGAAAATGGACTTTTGAGAAAAAACGAATGGAACCTTTGGTGTACTTGATTTATTTACTAAACATCTATGTGAAAAGAAAATGAACGTTTTTTGGGTTTACATGCCCTTTAAGATTCTTTATCACCAACCTCCATAATTTTGACAAGTCTGCCACCAGCGCCTACGAGAGGCGATTCTAAGCTTGAATTGAGTGATGTACACCAGATGTTGTTGTCCACTGTGCCGATGTAGAGTTTGTGAGTTTCCGCAGTCTCTAAGGCAAGGCAACGTACTCCGCTCACTTCCCAAGGCATCTACCGAAAGAAATCAGTAAACAGTCATAACAGTCTTTATAAAATTCAACAGAAGACGCAGTCAGGTAATCCTCAGTGGCTATCCTCGGTCCCCACCAAGGAAGCTCGGTCCTAGGTTAGGATATGTCAGTGTGCCACTAAGGCTTAAGACCAGAGGCCAAGTGTTCAAGCCCTGCCCGTGCTCATTACGTTGTGATTTTGGGAAAGACACTTTTATTAAAGTGAACACTTGCAATGCGTCTCCTCTTAAAATTACAAGTGGGCAATAGAGAACTGTAAGATATTATAAGAAATGGTGATAGGGGAAAACCTGTGATAGTCTATCCTCTCTACAGAAGATCGCAACACCCATGAAAACTTGACTTCATCATCTTCCCTACCAACCTTAAGCTCGACATTTGTCGGGACCAATCTTGGTGTTCTATTCCAGGCTCTCACGGTCGACTCGCCACCTCCCCCTGAAAGTATGACACCGTTTGGTAGAACGAGCAAGGCGTAGACGGAGCCCTAGAAACAAGGAAAATATCAAAATCACTGAAAAATTCAGTTTGAAGCACGCTTCATTCCACAGTCCATACTTACAGAATGAGCGTTCCTTACTCCAAGCTCCTCCGCAACTTGGTTAGATTCTGTTGAAATATGATTGCAACATTAAAAATATCTTTGCCTTGTGCTACATTGTATCGGCCATTTCATCCTTCTCTCGAAATTGCAGCTCAGTCCCCGACCCTCATAAGAGCAAAATTAAATTTCTCATGAAATAATTTTAAAACTACAATCCGTGGAGAACTACGACCTGTCACCTCTGCCAAGGCCAAAATGTATCATTAGGGACCGCTAATTATTTATGGCCTAAGGGGGGAAGGGGAGCGGAGGATTTTGGTTGCGTCATAATAAAATTTACCTGATCCCTCTAAAAGGCTGTGAATTACCCTCATGATACCCCTTCATTGGTAGTTAATTAGCAGTCAATCTTTCATAGTCCCCTCTCTATACTCAGTTGGCGACGAGTGATCCCTCTTCCGTTCCCCCTGAAAACTATGTGATACCCCATCTGAAGTAACAAGCTATGCGACTCCGTCAAATTTGTAGCCTGATATTTAACAGTAGGTTAAAAAGTGACAGAAAAGAAAAACACAAACCCTCGGGCCAAACGCTTATGGCGCCATCTGTATCTCCTGTAATGACGTCACCGTTTGTGGAGAAAGCGATGCATGACACGTACTTTGGTCGGCGGTTTTTCTGATATATTGACATAAAAACAGGGTATCATCAGCGTTATTTGGAGTAATTAGACGAGTCTTTCCATCCCTGTCTATAATTGGCTAGCCTTAGAAGCTCAAAAGCTAGAAAGCATTGTCTTCGGATAAAATGCAAAATAGCCGGTACGTGTAAGATGTTTGCAGGCTGCAATATTGAGCGACAGTGACAGATAGAACGATAGATAAACAAATAGAGAATCAGAAAAACAAGCAGGCAAATAGTTAGACAAAGGGGCACATGCGTGCGCCGCTAGACAGGAACGAGCAAGACTCCAGATAAAACATCTTTCGATATATTTCCAAACGAACTCCTTCAAACAAGTATCGTTAAACCTCTCGTGTACCCCGGCTTCATCAATGGGAAAAATGAGTTCAACAGTTGACTTACACTCATTCTTCCTCGCGCTTGCTTCAGTTTGTTTTCTTCCAATTCCCAGAATGACACGTGTTGCTTACCGCACGTCACAAACTGATGGCTCTCGAACGGAGAGAAACTCACCGCTAAAACTTGGTCCATGTTACCCTGTAATCCAAAGAAAGTGGTTTATTTAAATGTTCAGCAGTTTCAAATTCATTTAGTTTTCTCGTGGCACCTTATTTGACAAACAATCGAAGGAGCTTTGTAGACAGTGCCTGCATTCCAAACTCTCTTAACTGTTTTAAATTTCTGTTTTCGCTTTTGTTTGTTGCTCCTTTTTGTTGGTTTTTCTGTTTTCGTGTTTTTTTATTGTCTATGAGCTGTTACTAAAAGAGACAGCAAACATAAATAGGTCCTTGATTAGGAATATCAATGTACCGATCGTCCTACTAACATCCCTGGGTGGACGTTAACGTACGTTTGAATGAAACCAAACATACAAACTTCTCTTTTTTTCTGTTATCATACCCTGGCAGAAGTAATTTTTCTCTTTCGTTTCCAGTCCCAAACGGTCACAGTGTGATATTCATTATCTTCTACTGATGCAAGATACTCTCCTTGGCTTCTCTGATGAAATGAAAGTAGAAACGTAGCGTTACTGCATTGATCAAACAGAAGAAAATAAATAAATAAAGAGATAAAGAAATAAATAGTACTTCAAAGTTAGATTTAAGTGGCCACTAGGCTCTACGTCCGCTGAGTATAATTGGAAGTGGAATTGGGCAAGCTAGTTTTCTGTGGAGAGAAAAAAACCAAGAGAACCAGGAAAAGAAACCGCTCACGAAGGGCTGGGACAAACAGCAAACTTAACCAGCAGGTGGTGTTAGGTCTGGGAATAGAACCCAGGCTGCGGCGGTAGAGGCGGCCTTCAAGCATGTGATTATGAGCACAGCAAATAACGGAGACACGTGAAAAATATCTGATAACCCGTAGACTGCTCACCTTATTGGAGAATGCAAGAGCGAAGACGGCGTCTTTGAAATAATCCAATCCAATAACGCAGATTGTTTCTAAAGAGTTGGAATCCCAAATTCTGATATGCGACTATAAATTGATTAGAAAAAAAACGAAAATAAAAATTAAACTAATTCTTAGACTGATAACCGTGCATAGGAACTGATCAATAAACTCAATTCTCAAAACTTTGAAAAAATGCCATGTACGGGGATTGAGCAGGAGAAGATGTACGTTGATCGGTTACACTTACCCTGGCGTCATCACCATGTCCTTTGACTTGTCCTGTAGCAATTGTAACTCCATCGGGGTGGACACACAAACTATGATTAACATGTTATTGGTACAATCATTAAAAGTTGACAAATTTCGCGGCAAGTCTGTTTCTTTCCTGATACCCGCTTTACATTTCCATTGGAATTGCGAATCTCAAGTCATCGAAGGTATTTAATAAACAAATATTGTCCTTTATGTATTGCCGAAAGAAGGAAGAATTTCCAATCGTTTATTGGGAGGTGAAAGAAGAACTTCACCGGGGTGCCCCTACCATAACTGCGTCTTTCAAAACACAATTACGCTACCCTTGGGTTAAAACAAATTGTGTATTGGCCTTAAAACTAATTACGTTCAGTTTTGCTTTTCACCAAGACGAGACCCTGCAAAAAAGGAGGCTTTTAAAGAAGAGAAATCAAACCCAAGACTAACTTTTGATCCAAGATCAACGCAGACCGCCCTTTGAACAAACGGGATCAGGTTAAAAATAAGTGACTGAGTGACTGCAAACCGACAGGAAAACCAGACGAGATGCTACAGTGAACCTGGCATACTGCACTCCCGTCCAGGGGGAAGTAGAAAATAGTCCGAGTCGCTTATGCTACCGCATTGCCTTTTAGCTTGTAGCTATTGTGAATCAGTAACTCACCTGGGCACTTATGGATAAATGTACAGGAACGTGAATAATACTATTCGCCAAGGAACTACTTAATTAAAAGACGATTACCTCTTGACGTCATTCGTATGTTCTGTGTAGTGCCGCTGCTTATGGTTGGGTACGTCATAAAACACAACCACTGCTGCAGTGAAGTAAATGAGTTCTCCTGTGCTTAGCACAAAAAGATTGTTCCTGCAGTCTCTGCCGCGGTAACCGTAGCTGAAAACCGAAACCAAAACAAAGTTCATTTAACCAATTTCTTTAGCGGAACCGGAGCGGCAAGGCTGCATGTACGTATCACGTGCATTTTGGCATGTATCAAGTGTGTTGTGGAAAGAAAGCACACGATAACGAGGCCGACTACCCGTAAGGGTACTTAACATTACTTCCTTTTGGTTCCTTGTGACGTTAATTTTTCTCTGATTAGCTGTAATGGTTATTTCGGGTTTTGATTTCACGACACTCAATTGAAAGCACTGAATGCATATATTGTAATAAAATTCAAAACATCGGGAACATCGATGAAAGCTTCAGCGGCTTGAAAATACCGTTGAATGGCATGAGTGTTGATCGCCTTGCAAGTTGTGGGAATATCGTCCCTTGGTTCCAGATCCGTCAATTACGGGACAGCTGTTCCCTAAATATTCTTGAATAAACTCTTTAAAAAAGTAAACGGCTGGAAAATGAACTAACTGGAGGTTCGCTTTAAGCTAAGCTAAATCCATTTATTAAAATTATTTCAACTTGTATATAAAACTAAATTAATACAGACGAAAAAGAAGACGAATTCGATAACTTACACCCACTCCAGCTGCAGCTTTTCCTCGGGGGGTTGTGGTGATGTGTCCATGCCAACGTACTCATCAGGTGGGTACAGGTAGATATTACGGCCACGTAGCGTTAGTACTTCAGGGTTCGGTCCTTGGAAAGAAAATGAGTCAGTAGAGCTATTAGAGCGGATCAATGAATATATGTTATTTTGATCGAATCACCAATAAACATTTGAACACGTAATTTAAATTTTATGTTGGATGAGCTGAGTGTCACAGTTACGAATAATTTTTCTTGGTGTGGCAATTTAGCAAGGTCACCATTATTATAGAATGCTTTGACGCTTAAATAAGGTTAGCTCTGCTTCCCACCAAGCGAATTGTATGTACGTGTAAATGCCTTAAAGCACTTTTTGATTGAATGATGTAAAAGCCAAACAAAGGTAACCAAAGCGGCCAATCAGAGCCAAGGAAAATATTAAGCCATTGAGAACTCAAAGTTCAGACAAGCACACGCGCTCAAGCGGCCTGTGACCGAGGCACCATTGGTTTTGTTTTTAGCTCTGATTGGTTAATAGATTGGCACGAATTTTCTAGACCAATCAGATAGCACAGTAAAGCAAAACCAATACAATCTAGGATTAGGTTCAACGTTCAACTCGAAATTGCTATATAGTCCTCCACAAGACGATAAGTTTTTACTTTCTTGTCATCTGTTAATGTAAATATTGCACAAAATGTTGAGGAGTTTCAAGTCAGTCACAACAAGAAGTTAAAGGCTTTATTTATCATTTAATAATCAATTTTACTTATAAAGGGCAGAACACATAACCGTATGAAAACTGAAGAACCAGTGGCCCTCAAATCATTCACATCCCTAAATAAGAGAGGCACCGAAAGACTAGCAGTTTAAATTGCAGAACATCTTGTTTAGTTCATAAAAAAAATTGGACAAAAATTCTAAATTAGTGTGTAAGTTATTTAATCTTTACCTTTATCTTCCAAAGTCCTTTTAAAATTGTTGTCATTGTGTTTAAGGCCAGAATGTTTCCTTGGAAAACGTGCTCTGTGATCTGCATTTACATTTCATAAGTTTCAAAGTGTTTTATATTAGTGTATTTAGCTCATTGCTTTAACATTCAATCGTTAACATTTAAGATTAAGACATGTTCAACTAGTTTGATATTTAACACTATTGTCACCTGATTTATTTCTCGTACCTGCCCAGAGAATCAGAGTGGCAGCTGGGATTAAAGGCTTATTGTTCTTTTATATGAAAAATGTAAATCCAGAGCAGAATATTAGCAAAATTTACTTTACAGTGACAACTGTAAGGAATGAGAATTATTTCTTTTTATACCTTGAAAGCAAAGATTAAAATATTAGACAGTTTAAAAATTGCTATGCAAGGTACTTAGTCTCATTCACCCAACACAACTGCCTAGGTTTGCAAGTCCTTGCTGTTCAAAAATTGATCTGTCAGTTGGCCAAAGTGCAAACAATAATCATACATTGATTCAAGAATGGTTAGAATAAGTGATGAAATGGCAAATCAAAATGATTCATACATACTACCTGATAACAAAAAAGACCTTTTGGCATATAGTTCTCATATTGTCAAAACTCAGCTTTGAAAACACAACAAGTTTGAGATCAATGTCAGTGCCCAAGCAACTGTACACCTACCCCTCTCCTGACTCAACAACAGTCAAGTAATAACAAGTTAGGGTCAATGTTGGAATAGGGGAGGAGTAGGTGCGCAGTTCTTCAGATACTGACATTGATCCCAAGTTTCTCATGTCTAGTAGGTCCAACATCAGTATGTGCAAGGCATTTAACTGTACTAAATAGAACCTTTAATAAATCAAATATTGCATGAAGCATTCACCTGAGCTGGTCTGTGTTTCTGTGGTAGTTGTAAAGTTGCTGTCATGCTTTTTCACCACTGTAGCACTAGTTTTGCCATTATTTTTAATGGACAGTTTCTCTTCTGACCTCAGAGAGTTTCCAAGAGCAGCTACAGACATGGCCTTTTCAAGGAATCTTGACATATCTGTCCAACTAAAAAAAATTGGAAAGTCACTAAAAAAGTTCACTTACTGAATGTTTTGCAAGCAATTACATGATGACACTAAATTTGGTAACTCCTACTTCAAATAAACTGCAGATTTTTAAAAACAATGATCAGTAAGTTTTGTATTCCCTGTATCACCTGCCAATATCATCTGCTGCTTTGGCAGGCAGCAGATAAGACTATGATTACTATTTACAATCTGAAACTGCTTCTAGCTGGGTCATTGTAAATTTCTTCTTTTGATCTTCAGAGAATTTACATATTACAGATTAGTTTCAAATACTTTCAGCTAACTCATGTTCACCACAAATAGCCCAAATTATTAAGAAATGACATTAAATTAGCAATTTGTATGTAGTGGACACTTACTTAACACGGCCTCTTCCTTCTGTATCAAACCTTACAAGCAGTTTTTCCAACAAGGAGCGACTCAGGTGGACATTCGTCTAAACCATAAATTATGAATAAGGAGCTGCACATGGCATTCAAACCAACTGTAATTAGTTAAGTTGCCCATGTGATTATAGAGATGCACACACTCTGATTGGTCAAGAACTATGCGATCTTGCTGTAATTACCCAACATATGGTGATTACCACTCCTATTCAAATGGCTGTTACACCAATTCTTGATGTTTTCAAAGAAGAAATAAGTAAAATGAAAGAAAATGCAGTGACTAACTGTAGGGATGTAGAAAAGTAATGGAGAGAAGCAGTGTGGGATTGTGTATCTCATAAAAGTACACAATACAGTACACCAAGAGCTCTCAAATCTGGATGCTACAGAGCAGCCTACCCTGTGACCAACATGCTTAGTGGTCACCCAGTCACTAACATCCTTGCCTTTATCCTCAGAATGTCGTAATTGATACCCTTCTGACAATAATTGTCAACAAAATTATTTTGTTCAATATAGTTAACTGTACTGTTTGATTTTAGAAATGAATATGGCAAATGCAACAAAGTGCATTATTTGTTACACAACTGCATTATTTATTTTCCACTGAAAATAAATTCTTACTTTGTCATAGTTCTGACGTGAAGTCCTCAGTTCATTGCTGTCCAAATTTCCATTATCCTGCATCAGCTCATTTTCAACTTCTAGCAGCAGCTGGGCATCATTTTTACCACTGGCAGACTGAGTAGTACTTGAGAGCACAGGATTTGACAAACCAACAGCACTTAATTTGGTTTTAGCTTGCCAACCCTCTGATGCATGACAGTCTGTAGATTTTGAAAAAAAGGGAAACATCACTTGAACACAAAAGTCCTGCCTTCAACCTATCTGTAAATTAAAAAATTTTCATTTCTTAAAGTTATTTAAAGATTTGATGTTAAACAGTTTGGAAATTGGAAAAATAAAAGAACTTCACAGATAAACCCAAAGTAACACCAAGTAAATAAACCTGTTCTCAATCATAAATAGCCTAGCTAAAGCTTCCTTGACACTAACAAACAGCTTGAAGCTTTTTTTGCTGCACCCTTAAAGCAACAATCTGTTCTTTAAATGTATTTTAAAAAATATCAATCATCATTAATTTTATTTTTAATCTTGCAAATGACATCACATCATTGAATGTAATTGTGTAAGTCATGTTCAGCTTAAAACAAACAAGTTTCTTGATATTTTAGAGACCTTAAAATTCAGTTTGAGATTTTGTAATCTTGGGAAAAGGAAGTCAGCATTTTAGGTCAAGTTTTTTGCAAAAATAGCAGGTGGCATAAACAAGATACTAACATGAGAGTTATAAAGTATATTTCAATTACATTTAGCAATCACCTAACAAATATCTGGCCAGCGGTTCATGAAGAACTCCAAGGCCATTATCAACTTCAAACTTCTTGACAAGAGCTTTCAATGTAGGACCAAGTATGAGTATGTGGTAATACAGGAGAACTTGTCTGAGTTCTTCTGTGGTAATTCGACCAGAGCGGTCCTTGTCCAGGAGAGACAACTTGTGTTTCACATCTAAAAGCTTCTGTTTGCTGACATTCTTAAGAGCATCTGCTACTTTTTGAGCAAGTTGGCGGTCTGAAATTGATTGGTCAGAGGTGAAACATAAATTATACGAAAAAGTTCAGAAATTAGTACATGTGCAACCCTTAGTAAATGGGACAAACAATCACTAACTAGTATCTAACTATGTGAAGTAATATAGAGGATGCATTAAATAGAATTGGATTTTGGCATTGGCACATTCATGATGTAGCTTTCCTGTTCATCTCCAAATCAAGTTGCTGTTTGAAGTTTTATTTTTTTTTTCTGCAGGAAGAGACAGAAAATTTTTAACCACTTAATGAGAGACAATTCTCAACAAACTGACATTTGATGCCAGATCCCTGCATTAGGTTGACCACATCCTAAGGAAGCTAGCACCTCCAAACTGACTCACTTAATTTTTGTGAGCATTATATACAAAGTTAGGTTATGAAAAGTTGGAAAAAGATTATTATTTAATTTCTGTCATTCTCCTATTTTAAAGTGTGTGAATTAAGCAATATGTATGGTACAGAATATTGATAACAATTAATCCTCCTCAAATAATAAATTAAATTTACAAGTGATATCATAAAATTGTTACCATTCTCACTTTATGTACAAGCGAGCTATAATTTTATGATATTTAAATTTAACAATCATTCTTTTGCATAATTAAGCTTGAATTGTTTAAAGTTTGCTTACCCTCAGAGATAGGTGGAAGGACAGGGTAAGATGTGCCACCTATTTTAGATGTTGGACTGGGATCATATTTTCCCCATGGATAGGTAGCACTGAGGCCACTCTGCCGTGATGATGGCAAACCACGGTAGTCTGGAACTGTAACTAATTTTCCTCCAACAATCTTAGTCACAAATCTTGGAGAAGTCATGGTTTAGGTGAGTCAATTTCATTCTCCTCCTCCTTATTCATTGTTAACTGTAGGGAAAAAATGAGGTTGGAATTAAAGCACTGCAACAGCTGAATGATGCAGCAATGTTTTTAATTTCCATATGATGAAACACATTTGACACACCAATCAAAGTTGAAAACTTAACAGATACTGTTTCTCTCAGAGAGTATAATTCACTATTCAAGAGAGTAAATTGAGTAAGGAGGACAGTGAATTTTTTGCTTGATCATTGAATAAAGAAAGATGTTACTTGTTTTGTAACAAGCAAAGGACACCACCAGTCTTCTCAACCCTTGACCCCCGAGAGTGACTAGCATCTAATTTCTCCTTAAAATATCATCCCTTCAAATCTCTTATTAAGATCATGAAAATAAAGGAAATGGTTTCAAACTCAAGAAACTCTTCATTGTTAGATGAATTCTCCTTGCAAGTATAAGAGTAATTTATAGAAAACAGTTAAGAGAATTTGCACACAGATGTCAGGATGTAAAGAGTTAAGTAAAGCAAAAAGTAAAGCCTTTAGACAGGCCCAAGTGGCCCATGGGGCCAGCGCTTAACTCTGGTTTCCTTAGCATGAAGCAGCTAGGAGTATTGCTATTCCCCCCTGGATGGGATGCTAGTCCATTGCAGGGTTACCCCTAGCATATTTGCTGATACCCACTTGTACACCTGGGTGAAGAGAAGCACTGTGAGAGTAAAGTGTCTTTCCAAAGAACACAACACAATGACCCCAGCCAGGGATTGAACCCAGACCACTCGATCTGGAGTCAAGTGCACTAACCATGAGGCCACTGCACCTCCCTGGTGTAAAGAGTTAAGTATCATAATATTCCCAAAGAGATTATAGAGATGATCCTGGTTAAAGACTTCATCAAATCTTGGCGTAACCAACCAGCCAAGGTGATTACTGCTCTTAAGCACTAAATTTCAAGCAGATGCAGAATTTTAGATGCTTCTAAATAAGAAAACAAAACACAGAAAAAGTTGCTCTGATAATCACCTGATCAATTAAGGAAAACAATTATTCTACTCAAGACCTGCGAATATTATGGCATAATTTGCATATCTTTGTCTTGAGGTTTATTTAAAAATTTTTACCTTGCCTTTAGTAAATAACTGAAAAATGATACAGGATGAAAGGTTGTCAGACTGACTGAATTTAAGGTATGGAACAAATGCAGCCTAACTACATGAAAGAACTTCCACTGAAGCTAACCATATATTGTTGTACCAGTTCATTCCTGAAGCGAAATCAACAACATTCACAAGATTGAATATCATTTAATCCAAAACTAATGGAGAAGCATCAACTGGTTTTCGACTTACTTCTTTACAAATCAAAATAACGGAATTAACAATTTTTTTTGAAAAAGATTGTTCCATGGTCTGTAAATAACACAATTCATACCACATTTAATCGTGATGATCAAATAAATACTTGGGCCTAATTAAGCACATCTTGACGACCAAAAAGTTTACAAAGGAAACTGAACAAAAGAAAAGTCATCTACGCAAACAGCTTCACGAGGTCTTGTTCACTCAACACACACACAAGTTAACTCAACATCACCACAACGAAAGGGAAATGAAGCTTAGAAATCAATAGGACAAGGAAAAGACATAAACATTAGGCTTAACACCAGATGGCATCAACTCACAATAGACAGGGTAATACAAAAGACAACCGTGCTTCGCGACCAATTTGTTTATAATTTGATTGTCATCGGCAACGTTGAGAAAAAATGTGAAATAATCTACACATACATAAAAAAAATTTAACTTCGTAAGTATTTTAGTGAACTCCCTACTTTTACCGCCATCAAAAGCTAATATTTGGGTTCATCACCTCACCTTCCGTTGCTAGGTCCACCGGGTCGGCCATTAAAGATTACATTAATGCCCAGGGCCCACTCGTTTTCTTTTCTAGCTCTACAAGGCTCCAACATAATTATTTCCCCTAGCAAAGAACCAATAACACTTCTCCAGAAGACATATAATTTTTAGCTTCACACGTAGAGAAAATTAACTTAAAAATTTATTTTCTAGCATACTCAGCGTTTCATGAGAGTAACCTGTTCCAGAATTAATTTCAATTACGCTAAAAATTGAAGAAGGGAGACTTAATTTAGAGTTTAAAAGGTAAGCCATTCTTTTCGCCAATGACCAGTTCGCTAACGTCTTAGATCGTTTCGCTCCCCGTCTTAAGGCAGTTCGCTAACAAATTGAAAAGGGTCAGTTTCGCCCACAAGTTATCTCGTCTACGGGTAACTTCCCCCACAAGTCATCTCACCTGTCCAATTGCAACAATTAGGGTTTCAACTTACTACAATTCAAGGTATCCGATCGAGTCGCCCACGGACCAACTCACCCACGCCAACTCAGCCATGCATAAAATCGCTTCAATAAGCTCATTACATAATTAGTGTTGTTTTAAGTTAGGGTTTGATGTTGTATGGAATGATAATAAATAACTGAAGTTACTAAGTTTCGACAATGATTCGTTAAGCTATGTCGTTGTAATACCCCAAACCGACGTGTACGGCAACCGGCATACTGTTACAAATGAACACTTAGATGTCACGGACGCTTTCCAACGCCTTTCTGACACTTATTACGCCACGGAATTGTGGGTTTCTTCAGTAAGAAACCATTTATTTTGTTTATGTCACAGCTTTTTGTTGTTTTGTTTGTTATGTTATATTTTAAGCCAAAGAATCAAAGCGATTGTTCGGGGATTTGGATCAAGTTGGTCAGTTGGCGACTTGACTGTAATTCTACTTCAAAGGTCTCCCTTTTGTAGTTTAATATGGCAGAGTATACACAGTTGCCTTGAATGCACACAAGTTGGACTAAAAAGGTTTTTGTGTCTTTATCTTGTGATTTTTCGGTATTTCATAATTTAACTGATATAATGTTAAGGTTCTAACATGAGCACCAGGTTAGGGAGACTGGGCGACAAAAGGCAATGTCATTGACGGTAAATTAGCTTTTTCTCACTCCTTTTAATGACTAGGAAAATGGAAGTGGGTGAACCGACCCGTTAGCAAAATTAGTTGTAGGAGAAACTGACCTGTTGGAAGTCGACTTTAAGGTGAACTGACCCGTAGGCGAAACAGACTTGTATCTGAGGTGAACCGTTGGCGAAACCGACCTGTATCCGAGATGACTTGTAGGTGAAACTGATCTGTATCCGAGATGACCTGGAGGCGAAACAGACCTGTATCCGAGATGACTTGAAGGCGAAACTGACCGGTAAGCGAAATGGCTTGAGGGCGAACCACCCCGTAGGCGAGACGATTTGTAGGCAAAAAAACCTGTTGGCGAAATGACTTCTGAGCGAACCGACCCGTAGGCAAGATGATTTGTGGGCGAAACTGACCTGTTAGCGAGTTGACTTTTAGGTCAAACGAACTGAAGGCGAAATGACTTGTAGATTTGACCGACTTCTAATCAGTGGCGACAGGGCATAGGGAATTAAGTCGTTTCAAGACAAACTTAAAGTCGATCCGATACGAGTCGATTCAAGATTAACTGAAGTCGGTTTGATAAATCAACAAAGTCGATTCGATGCAGGCAAGAAGTTGATTTGATGCAATTCGAGTCATTTCGATACAAAGTAAAGGATAAATCTGGAGGTTTCGCTCGTCTACGGTGCAATGATGTGAAACTTGTGCAAATGATCCAAATATACAAATGCAGAGGAGACGATAGTGAAATAACTTGGCTAAAAAAAGTCAACGATACGACCAATGAAACGGCAGCGAACTGACCTAAGACCTAAGACGTTAGTGAATTGGTCGTTAGCGAAATTCATTCAAAATAGCGGCGGACGGCGCGATTATCAAAGTCGCATTTTCAACACATAAGTGGACAATTTTCAAAAGGGCAGGTTCCTCTTCTGGACCTCAAGACGCAATGAGAGACATCATTTCGTGTAAAATTTTAATTCGCAGAAATAAAAATCATGTCCTTGTCCTTCCTCGAAACCTATAGCAATAACTTTAAGCAGCTTATTCAGGGAAAAAAACTAGAATCTATAGCGACTGTTTTGTATCTCACTTGTTATATGATACAGCGTTTGGGACAATTCACGTGAAAGAATCTTGGCTCGTTTATTATTGTCTCGGAGCGGATACCGAAAAAAATTGAGTTTCGTTCAATCATCGCCACAGAAAAGGTTTGGCACTTGATTCAGGTAGAGAAAGACCCCCTGATCAATTTGAGGTAGTTCGAAGAGTTGAATTGTGGTATGTATTTCAAAAACAGGGCCTTTTTTGTCACGCGTTCTACATTTCAATTACATGTTCGGTTTTTTTTTTAACGCGAGCTGTGATAGGTTTCATTTCATTCCAATAAATTTTTATGTCTGTTATGTCACGTTCTACCAAGTACATAGATGTGGATCATATAACTATATGACAATGATGAAGGCCATGTAGCTGTTGACATGAGCATTTTTGTCTCATGCCACTAGAAATATCGCTTAAGTCAATATCCTGCGCTTCAGTTTCCTTACGACTATTAGACAACTACGCTTACCTATCGAAATCTTTATGAACAGTATCTTAACCTCGTTGAAGCAGACTCGAAAAGAAGGATAACGTAGAGGCCGGCGTATCTTCGGTCAAAGACACAGACATAAAAATTTATTGAACTGAAATGAAAATGTAAAAAAAAAACCTATTACAATTTCGATGTCATTCGCCATCTTCAAAAAATCTTAAAAGATCAACATTTTCAATTTGTCAATTTCTTTTGACGTTCATTTTTCTTTGGTGGTTGAAGGTTAAGTTTCAGACCATCTTGAGTTAATAAAAAAAGATAAAATCAATTAAGTTTTTCAGTTTTTTTTTTAGATGAAGGGTTAGCTTTGATTCTCTCTCATATGGTTGTTACATTAAGAACTCTCTCATGGGATTGTTATGTTAGTATCTCGCGCACGTTTAGGATTTTCTTTCATTAGATTGTTGTGTTAGTGTCTGGCGTTCCTTTAGGATTCTCTTTCATGGGATTGTTACGTTAGAATCT